AAGTTTTTTGTGGGAATCCATGCCCAGGTACAGCAGTGCACTCCAGATAAAATTAATAGATGCAGTTCTACTGGTGTAAAGGTTTATTAAAGCAGAAGCCAAGTCTAGCTCACAAAAAATCCCAAAAACTCAGGATGCAAAAGCCTGATGATGATGAAAGGATCAAAGCATGACAGTTTTTAAGACTCACAACTTGTCATACACACTCCACTTTTGCCAGCTCCCAAAGACTCACAATCACAATGTAAATCACAGAGGCTCTCCTCTTTAAACCATCACAAAAAGTCCATTGCATCTGTGACTAACATTGTCATAGTTATGGAATTTATCCCAAGGCAAGTACGTCTCCATCTGCCAACAGATGCAATTCAAAAATATGGGATGCATCTGCAATCCTCATCACAAGGGCTCCTCTTCAGGAACTCCATTCATCTACTAATAAATTTAATGGGGTGGTCTTCTTAGGGAGACCATGCAAGTTCCTACAGTAGGACAGAGACCACACTCCTTAAAAAACCACACAGGCTTCTGAGTTAGAATTTGAGAAACTGTGACATCTAAGAGGAACTTGTAATGATCTTGTGCCACTAGTTCTGTAGTTTGACTTAAACACCTAACAGTGCAAAATAAAAAGAAAAGCAAAACCCTGGGCTCTGCAAGCCTCAACAGATGCTCTCTGAATGTCTTGCTTGGAATTCAAGACTTGGGCTGCCAACGTTTCTGACCTTATAAATGGAGAGAAGTGGATTGTCCATGAACTTATAAAAATACAGGGGAGGAAATCTAATTTTAGACACTGTGGTCCAACATGTTTACTTTAGGATTTCACATGTAAACAGTGATGGAAAAATGCTCTGGCTTGTCCTTTGTCTACAGATAAATCTTTGGTATCCAAGTTCAATGGTATAAAAATTCTCTTTGCCCTGATTTTCTTCATTACTGAAAGAGCCCTTCTTTGTAAGCACTGTGATCTCTGACTGTGGGTGACCAAGTGCCATAAGGCTAACAGTGCCTTTAAAAGTGGCTTTGCCCAGAAGACATTAAACCCCTCTTAGTAAAGGGCATCTTATAAAAGGCAGCCTACAGGATAACTGGCCCTTTTAAAAGACAGGAAAATTCTACTTCAAACCAGCAGTTCGTGGCAGCTGCCAAAAGAAGCCAAAAAAAGCAGACAGCCAGACCTCATGCTCTTCCTCACAAACATCAGCCATTTGTATTAGAAATTCTTCCCAGCATTAGGCTTTGGGAACACCTACACTAGTAGTTTTCTACTTTTGCCTCAAGGTTTGAGACCTCCCATCACTTCACTCCTGCTCAAAACCCCGTTTCCTTAGGAAGAAACATTTAGATGTGGGGATATGCTGCCTCAGCACCAGCAGAGCTGCCAGACACTCCCCACTACACCAGCCTGCAATAAAGTTTCACTCCCCAGCATCTGCCACAAATGAGCAATTAGAGCTTAGGCTGAGCAGTCCAGTACTCCCCCCAAGCAATGCACTTTTACCACTTTTAACAGTATTGTTCACTCCCAGCACCTCTGTTTAAAGGGGACTCACAGGGATCACAGGAGGGCTCCTTCACTCCTCTGTTCTGCACTCCCACTGAGCAAGTCCATCTGCATCAGTGCCCTTCCCACCATGTAAGAATTAACTTGTGACCTAGCTCTGCTCAAGTCACTAAACCAACGATCTTTACCTGTTAAGAAAGCTCACAATGACACTGCTCTATTACAGCATTAAAGGTGCCAGCAGGAGCAAGGAGTCAGTGCTTTCTGGAATAGCCAAGCCGAGAAGCTTCTGCAGTTTCAGCTGTGACCAGCTCAGTGACTCCAAGCGAAGATACACCTGTGGTTATGCGATGCTGGAGAAAATGATTGCCAGCCGTTCTCCTCCCGACTACAATTCTGCTGCTCATTATTCTCAGCCACCAGTTTAAGTACTTCTAGGCCAAGATCTAAGCATGCAGGGTCTTATGAAACACTATCAGTTTCAAAACTCTGATTCAAATTATTTTAATTATCATAAAACTTGAAAAGTTATCACTGGCTTAATCCCTGTGATGTGCTTTTCTACAGACTGCAGTACATGCATTCAAAATAGAGCAAAATATTATTGCTTAAATCTTGGCTTTCCCAAACGCTCAACACCAATAGCTTTTGCTAAAAATGCTGAGTGCTTCTGCATCCAGGAAAACCTGGAAGGCCATTATTACAGCCTCTGCTCAAACTTGAGTCACTTCTGTCCTGACTGGGAGAGGCAGCTAGGAGTCCTAGAGAGCCAGGAATCTGCACCAGGCACTGAGGTATTCACATCCCATGGCTGGGGTATGTGCTGTACTGGAAAATAAAGGAGCCTTCAAGAAGACACAAGCTATAAACAGACCACAAACTATATTTTTTTATGAAAACTACTTTGAGAAACTTGTGGGAGGGCTGATGCTCTGGGGAAGCTGAATAAACTAATTGGGGATGGGGCATTATATGGATCTTACTGCTCCAGATGGCAGATGCAGTAGGGAGCCTTGCAAGGCAAGAAGTTAAAATGCACTGCTAAACGCAATTGGCAAGGGTAGAGTAGAGCTAAGACCAGATCCAGAGCTGTAACAATAGGGAATACATACCAATTCAGTTTGGACAATCCTGTTGAAATCAAGTAAATATTGAAGTTTTGCACTTTGTCAGTAAGCCAACACGCACACACTGGACCACAAGGTAGATAGGTTAAAGTCAAGCTCTGTAAACAAAACCTCATGGACCTTCTAACACTGCACTGATTATATTTTATTTATGGGAATCTGTCTGAAAAGACAGGATGGCTACTAGACTGCACAAACTTTAATTGATCACTAGAGAGTTTGAAGAGATTAGTTAGAAATTACAAGACAATCTGTAAAGTTAGGGCAGCTTTTCTGTGAAGACACCTAAATTTCCATGTTAAGTTACCAGTATGTACAGGAATAAAAATGTATCATTCATTTACAGCAGACTTTTGTACAGCATCTCAGAAAGGTCATGAGTGTTCTTTGCTCAGGAAGCATTAGGGTGCACCCATTCCCTTTCACCTTTGAATGCAGTATTGAAATGAGACATTGAACACAGCAGCACTGATATCTGCCAAAGTAATTACAGCCCAATGTCAGCTTCTTGTGGTCCACTAAAATACGTATTAACTCAAATGCTACATGTTATATGATCTCTTGCTCTCTCAGAATTCAGGCAAAGCGCCGTGAATGTAACCCACTAACAGACTTTAAGGTAAATGACCTTTTGCATATTTACAAATAATAACTATCTTTGATATTCAAGCAAAATAAATATGTACCACTACTTCTAAGTATCTCTGCACAAGAGATCATCAGTTTTAAGTATCTATTGCACTGCCTCTTGTTGGTAAAGCATATTTTACCTTGATAAAGACAAAAGTTTCAGTATTCTTTTGTTACTAGAACTGAGCAGGAATAGTTACAGGATGATGCATCTCAAAGGATATGTTTGCACAGTGTAAATATATAAATATGCTTTTATGCATAAATATTTAAGAAAACTGGACTACAAAGATTACTTTTGTATGAACTCCCAAGTGTCTTCAGATGTGAAGAACTCCTATTTTGTCTTGCATTTTCTGTCTTTATATAATGTGTTTGACTACTAAATTCATATAATAAAGTTTGCTTTTCAAAAAAATTAAGAGTTCTGCCAGTGTCAAAGACTGCTGTGGCACACAAGTCAGCACTGGTAGCACAACATCTGGCACATATCCATCCCACAGGCTGATTTTCTGAGCAAAGGAGAACATGGAACAATCACACAGAAGGAAGGCACACTTCTTGCACAGCAATCCAGCTACAGTGAGAGATACCTGTCACTGCTCCCTGTGTGGGTGACATCCCCTAGGTTCAGCATAGTTAGGAAGAGCTTACTGCTGTCTAGAGACAAAAATTCAACTCGGCCTCTGGGAGAGGCAAGGTTTCATGGTGGGGGAAGACAAAGACAAACATCCACCACATAAACCACTCACAATCCCTGGTTTCTTCAGCAGCTAGAAGATGCACACCAGAGAAAAGGACAGCAAACAGGGCTAAGGTGTCCCCACCAAAGCCTGTTCTGAAGCTCCTGTGGCAGCAGGCAGCACCTTAGGCCTGAGTAGAGACTCTTTAATTCAGAGAATCCCCACCCCATTCATCTGAAGCTGGGGAGGCTGCCTCCACAGAGATGTTCAATCAAGTGCCTCCTGCTAAACAGCATTCAATCACCTGAGGGGCTCTCCAAGTGCTGGAAGGAAGTGGAGATGAAGCTTTCTCTGGGAAAGCAGAATGGGATCATCAGTTGCTGCAGGAGTTGTGTAGCTGTTGCTGCACATTACTAAGGAGGAAACTGGAGACTGGTGATGTGCATCAATCAAACAATGTAGCTTATATAATAACATTCCTAAAACACTGCAATCTCAGCAATAATGACTCCATGTTAAATATGTGCAGGGACTATTGACAATTCACAATATATTACACAAAATTACATCCTCCAAAAGCACGGTCAGCATTGGATGGATATAGGAGACTTTATCCCACCAGCAAATCATTGAGCCTTTGCTGGTTAAAAATATAGAAAAAGAATTCTGTGAAATGAAGTTATTGCGACTCCATGTGCAAATTCTCAGAGAAATTAATACACTTTGTTACTGAGCAAAAAAAGCTCAAAAAACATGGAAGCAAGGGTACTTAAGCAGAGTTTCAAAAGTAGGGCTTATCGAGGAAAGCAGATCTGATCAAACTGAAGCAGATGGGATCTGACTTGGGAGTTACAGAAATATGCATTAATGCAATTCTAGTAAACAATATCAGTTTTAGAACAGCTGATACACTCTAAGTGGCAAGCACTAAACACAGTTTGTGACTCCTGTTTAAACTCTGCATTGCAGACAGAATGAAATAAAATTCCACCACCAAAGTTAAAAAGCCCTGGATCCAACTTCAGAGCTTCACAATGTCAAAATAAGGCCACATTACTTCTGGTATTCTTTATTAAAAATACTGCTGTACACATGAACAATGAAAACAGGATTAAAGATGAGTAACACATACTGGGATCATGACATTAGAACTTAACATACTGGTGCTTTTTAGGGGAAGCAGTTGACACCTGAATTACTGAAACAAGGGCAAATCAAAAATACATAGGTACCCTCAACAAAATATTTACAATATAGTAAATACAGCAACAAAATTTAAAACAGGTACAAAAATTAAAATGACCAACATCAGATGATTTCAAAGGTTGTCCCTTCTGTGCTTTTAGCTGTAAAAAATAGGAAGGTCAGAAATAAATTTCCCATCTGGGAGGGCACATCCTGGTGACTCTTCTTTTAAATACAGATACACAGTTCTTCCTATGAATGGATCAAACTACAACTTTAGGACAACCTTCTAAATGGAATTAAAATGGGGTAGAAGGGCTCTCCCCCCAAAAAAAACACCCAAGCTGAACTTCAGACTGTTCAAATCATTCCCAAATATAGACCAAAAAAAAAAATAAATAGAAAACAAAGCTCAACTTCTTTTTAAATTTATGTATTACCTGACACCAAATATTTTCTGGCTGACATTATGTATGAAAACTTATTAGCTGTCTACCTTTTTATTTTTAAACCAAGTCCTGAGGTTACTAGGGGCTGAAGCAAACTGACATTATGCAAATACACACAGGTTTGCAATTTAGACATGTCTTGCAGAGGGTGTGCTGGTCTAAAAAGGATGAGAATTCAAGCCCTATTTTACCCCTGCCTTACACTTCCACAAAATATTGGTCCACAAATTAAATTTTCAAAGGTTCCCAAACCCCACAACTGAACAGATGATCCCCTTTCATTTTCAAAGAAAACAATACTGGAAAAAACCTCAGCCCGCTTATAAATTAAGCATTCCATATTTCTTCTAGAATACAAGTACTTCTTTTTTTTGTACAAAAGAATTACAATATGATTTGTCAAAAAACATAGAAAAGACAGCTGCTCTTCCTCAAATACATGAGCTAATGATAAAAGACTGTTCTGCATGTTCACTTTTCAAAGTTCCTGTTCCTTTTATATTAAAAAGAACATTCTGGCAACTGTTATCGTTTGAATATTAAACATTATGTTCCTTTTAAAATTGCAACAATAATTGATTTTTAAACTCAACAACTGATGCTACTTAATGTGGATTCAACCACATTTTCTAAAATGTGTAAAGCATGTCCCTAGTCTTCAAAGCTTTCGATGTGAAGAGAGTTGCTTTTTTCTTGATGCAAGTCTCAAGGCGGAGAATCATTTTAAAGCTTATAAAAGTGGACAGAGAAATATTAAAAACTTCTCTGAAAACTACAAATATTGAGAATCATTAAAATTGATGTCAGTAACATCAGTTGCAAGTGCTTAGAGTCTGTCCTGACCTTTTGAGTTTCCACATTTTCTTCATGGTGAGCACCCAGTGCTATTAAAACATTCAGTGCTGGGAAAGGATAGATACAGTCTTCACTACTGCTTTAAGAAAGGAAATTCCTACATATTTGGCAGTCTTCAGTATCAAAGTGTAGGTGTTTAACTAGAAATCCCATGAATACCCAAGTTTGGAGACAACTGCATGTCCAAAAATTAGAAAGGTAATTGAGGAGCAAAATTCCAGACTTTCGAAACTGAATTACTTCAGGAATATTCATGTGTTGAGTATTAGCAAAAGTAATATTACTTTGGGCTAAGCAGTGACTGCAAAGGCACAGCAGATCATTATCCCTCCAGATTCAGGCCGTAAAACTTGAAAAGCTCTTGATGCCAGACAACTGCTGTGTTTAGTTAATCTTCTTTTAACAGTGTCTTTGTATCTGTATCCAGTGTAGCGTACCATAATAAAGCTGTGGTTCAAAGAACAGAACTTTATACAAAAATTATACTGTAAATAACCTAAAGTAATACACTCCTGAAACTTCAGGCATTTAAACAATTTCTTTAAAAAAAAATCTATTAAAAAAATTGCATAAATGTAAATGCTTCTGACTACCAGGAAAATGTACAAACAGTTTTTAAAAGGCGCTGGTTGTGTTTAGAGCAAGTTTGATATGCTCCTTAAATTAAAGATGTTTCCCATTATGCTGTTTTCGTCACTTGGCTTAGACAAAGTTTAAATCGAATGACAGGGGACTTTCTTTCCTTTTTAGTCAATTCACCAGTACTTCACTTGACTGGTTTTAAAAAGTTGTTTCTTCTCACATTTCTTTGAGCTAACAGTGGGTGGCATACAGAGCTTGCATACAACACACTTTTACAGAGGTTACGAACTAAACGGTCATTAATAGAACACAATTTCTATTAAATTATTTACCTGGTCCTTTATGCTATTCTGGGTGCAAATAATATCAAAAATGAATAAATTTTGCTATATCCTCAGTGACAAAAATGTATCCCAGAAATGTCCTTGCAAAGAGTTTCCCTTAAGTATACAATGTGGCAAAACTTCAGAGATCAGAAAAGTCTTAAAAAAATTAAAATTAGTGCATATACAAGTGGAAAAAATAAAAGTAGGAACATCATGCACCTGATGTGTTCCTTAATCTAAAATAAATTCTTCACAGATAAAGCCTCCAATGGCAGCCTTAGCTCTAGGATAAGTGAAACATTCTTCCCTTCAAGTAACAGTGTACCTGACTGAAGTGCAAGCAGCTTTGCTCATCTCCTGTTTGTTTCCCAAATGTGAAATGAGATGACAACAACAATTCAGCTGTAGTGCAATTTGCTATAGGTTAAGTTCCTCAGCAATGTCCTGCATGCTTTCAGCAAATACTACAACTGACCATTTGCGGCTGCAATCAGTTCTTGAAAAGTATTTTCAAAGCAGCGTTTTAAATCGCTGTAAGTTACCACAAGTACACTCTTCTCATCTCTGGAAATGAGGCTTATTTTTTCTGGCACACCAGCATCTAACTGTAACAAGAATGCAAAAGATAAAATAAAAGAAGTGTGAAAGAAATGGCAAAACATTTCCCCAACAACAAAAGCAATCAATTTCTTGGCAAGCACGTTGTTATGGTGCAGTTCAAATCCGCTAACAGGACACAAAGGAAGAACCTGAATCACACCACAACAACGTCCTTGCCAAAAAATCGAGACATTTTAGTCTTAACCTGATGGACATTCCCAACCTTAAGACTAGATTAACATTGTTTCCTTCCCTTTCCACAAAGCTAGTAATCCTGTAATGCTCTACTTCCCTGTGTAGAAAACTTGGCAAAATTCTCATGTACTTCCTAAAGAACAAAACTAAATTTGACATTACATTTGCACATATGATCCACGAGCCTAAACGTAGGGTAGGTAATTTACTTCTTGTCCACTCCACAATGAGATAAAGCATGGATCAGCCTCAGGTAGCCTGAAAACTGGTAGAAACCCAAACCTCACATTTTTGGCAGTACTGGAAACAAACTAAGCTGTGTGGTACATTTAATCCCTTAGAAAGAAAAAAATTACTTTGGTATAATCCATAACCAAATGGATAATTTGGGGTTGAAGATCAACATTTGTTCCACATTTCTTCTCATGATTTGTTCTGACTTCTCAAATTCAATATGTAGGTTTTTTTATATACCATTAGATCCTAATTTCTAACAGAGGAATATGCTGCTTTACATGCTGAAGCCCATTACATCATTGTTTCTTATGCTCTTCTCACTTTGCAAGAAATGTTCATCAATAGAGAACTGTCAAGACTCTCTTAATATGCAGAACTTTTGTAGTTTTGTTTTAGTCAATACACTGATAGTTCCACCACAGTATTTCTTATTCTAATACAAAAGGTGGAGCAGAAACAAGTGAGATATGACACTACCAATCCATTCTTTGGAAATACAACCCCAGCAGGTTTAAAGGTATGTATTATAATATTGTACTGAAGAGAAAAGCAATGAAATGTCACAGAGATGTTCTACTAGCTGCTGTCTGGAGCAACACAGCAAGTCAGCAATTTCTTGCATTTCTCTTCTAAAGTAATGTTTTGAGTGTAACCTTTAAAGCTGCCACATTTTAAAGCTGCTGCTTTGTGAATGGTTTCAGAAGGCTGAAAGCAAGCCAATTAGCTTCTGATTTTTGTAGAGTATGGAAAAACCACCAGTGTCTTCCAACATCCACTACAAAATATTAATACAATTGAAGTGTTTGTGAAATATTGTCCACTGTTCATTCCAATTAGCATCATACAACAAATCAATGAATTACCCTAATGGAAGGTCTGTATTAAGAAAGCCACACTGCTAATTACAAACATCAGTATTTATGGCTTTCTTTCTTCCTATGGATGCATAAATCAATATTCTCAACTGAAAAGATGCTCAAAACACCACATTGAAAAGGAAAGTTTGTTTGTTTTTTTTTTTGAACAACAAAATAGGTTTCATTCAAAAGGAATGTGTTTGGCAAGTAGCAGTGAAGTCTATACAACTTCTACTAGTACTTCTACAGTTTCTGAAGTGTTAGAATACACTTGTTAGAGTGTATTTCCAAAGGAGAACTCTGTAAGCCTTACATTTTTTGTGTGCTGAGCCCACAACCACAGAAGAGAAGAGCCTCTGTTTAAAAAGGTAAGCCATGAACATTTATAGAACAAGGCATTCTTTGACATTGTCTCTTACCTGACCTATGAATTCAGGACTGTCCCCTCCTGCTACAGTACTGTATGAGTCACTGCTTTCAAATCATGATGGCATTTCAATGCCTACTTGAATGTCAACATGCTTTCTTTTTGATTTAGCCTCAATCCCTTTAATGTCCTTTTTAAAGTGATTACAGACACCAACCAGAAAGATAAAAAGGAGGTTAAAAAATGCACAGCAGTGGTCTAATAGGAGGTTAGAAACCCTGACAATTTTAGAAAAATATTTAACTGTACAGTTATTACACATCAAAGGATCTGAACATATTCCACTTTTCTTGGAGGAGAAAGTTGGCTATCCTAATCCTAGAAAAGAAAATATTGGGCACTAAAACTGTGTACTGTCAGTGTCTGCATCACCATTGCTCTACAGAGCAAGTGAAATTACCAAGCAGCTACAAAAAGCAACAACAAAAAAAGTTGCAGCATCTTAGCCTCCCATGGATTATTGAAGTTTAACAAAACAATGTAAAATAGGTTGAAAGCTGATCTACCAATTAAAAATTTAATCAGCTCACATACTTTTTAATTTATGGAGCAAGACAAGTTCCTCATCTACTGAAGATCTTGGGGTCTCTCATACATCTCCAGCTATTAATCATGAGAGTGCTCAGATAAAAATTCTGTTAGTGGTGCAGCTCTTAGAAAACTGCAAATAGCTTTGTAAAGTCAGCCTTGGAAAATAAACAGCTGGAGAGACTAGGGAAGTTATTATAGAAGTGGACTTAAAATGTTAAGTCACAGAAATTTTCTAGCACTGTCCTGTTGGCAAGGATTTTGCATAAATTTCTGTTGCAGTCTCCCTCCTGTCTCCTACTTGAGTCAGCACAGTTTAGGAATGGATCTTGCTTTATGAGCATCCTTTGTGATAACTACCAGCAGAAACCTCTCCCAGTTAAAGGAGTATCATGGATCCTTTATGCTTTGTTGAAAGACCAGAGTAGCATAAAGGGACCAGCATTGCTTATCCACAGTAATCAATGCATTCTAGGATGAAAAGTTAATATTGTATCTCACACTATATTAACAAAATATTCATGTACTAGTTTTATTTAAAATATCCATAGATGTTGGAATATTAGCTTAGTGAATACATGGTTTTAATCCAAAATGGGGAAAATAACTGCTAACTAAGCCAATGGCATTAACCTTCCAGTGCCAACTTGCTTTGCAGTGGAATACTCTTTTAAAGAAAGCTAACCCAATCAAACATGTAAAAACTAACCAAAGTACAGTGTACCTTGTTAAGACATGAGATAATGTGACTGAGGTCAATCCAAGGAGTACCCGCTTCTGTCACCTGATGGAAAAGGTGATCTCGAAAGAGCTTTAGTAAATACCTGTCTCCAGTTTCTGACCACGTTGGGTCCTTCTGAAACCTAGTGAAAAACAAATTCTTATATTAAAGCTCAGTAAGTTAAGTAAAATCAAACCCCACAGATATAAATGACACTTCAATCTCAGCTGAGTAGTCTTACTGCACAGCTAATCTACCTGCTATCAACTGCAATTAAATTAGTCCCCCCCCACCACAAACAGAAGATAACATACACAAAAACTTTCTCAGCTGCTTGAGCACAAAGTTAATGTATTCCAAGAGCCACCAAAAAATAATGGAAGAAAGGAAAAATTATCTGCAATAAGTTTACCATGTAAAACACATGTAGAAACCTGCTTTATAGACATAACTCTAAGTTGATGTAAAAGGATGGAAAGCAGACAATGAACAGTTCGTTTTGATGTAGTTAGTCAATAAAAAACAAGGTAAAAACTCACTAGCTTAAAACCAGTATCTATATCCTTTGCTTCAGTTAAAGCAAGCTATGGATTTCCTCCAAAGCTACTGCCACTCACAAGAGAAACCATACTAAATACAAGGAAACAACTTTGGCATATCATCTTGTAGCCTTCTCCTGTCTACTTAAAGTTTTGGTAAAAGTTGCTTATCTATTTTTTCTCAAGGCTTCTTAAATACTCATTTCTCCATGGGCAAATATGAGGGAAAAAATTTAGCTTAAATTTATGAAGGAAGAAAGTGAATTGCAAACTGTGTTTTACATACTCTAAACGACAAAAACAAGTATTTCTTACTCTGGCCTCTCATTGATTGTTCCCAATTTTGCTAGGAGCCTAAACAACCTTCCATTTTGCACCTCCTAGAAAACAAGAAAAAGGTTATTAAGAGTCTCTGAAACAAAATTTAGATATTTACTTGCAAAAGATACATGGTAATAATGCCAATGAAGCACTATTAATTACAAAGACTTATTTATTCAAAGAAAAGGGTATCATTTTTCAGACAGAAATCTAAGGCATTGTATTATTTATCAGTAGTCCAGTGCTCATTTTAGCACTTCAAATTAAAATGTGAAGATTCAGCAACTGATGATACCTCTCAGTCCCCACAGGAACTGGACCAAGCAATCTATTTCCTTGTGGAAATGTAAGTCTAATCTCCTGCCAACCAACACTCACAGGTATGCTAAAATATAGTAAGTTAAACAAGAAAATTATATATATTTTTTAACATATATATACACACACACACACACAGAGTTATATATACACAGTTACCAAGATACGCAGAAGTATGCAGTATACATCACCTTATTTCATATAAAGATGAGAAAAAACAATCTACTAGATCCTTTTTTCAGAAAAGCTTTGTAGGCCATTATTAGTAAATATTTTGCAACAATATCATTAAATTAATACTCAAATGATAACGGATTGCAAAAATTGTTTTGAAACAAGTTTTTTCAAAGCAGTTAGAATCTAAGTCTTAAAAGAGTATAAATGCTGAGTCCATAAATTACTTAAATAAAGCAATGACAATGAGGTCACACAGAGGCAGAACATTAAAATTATAGTTGCTTAGCACACAAGTAACTGAAAGTTGATTTAGTGTGTTTTTCCACAGCACTTAGGATGCAGTAAAAACAGCAACATCCTAGCTAACATTACACAAAAAATTAATTCACAGGTAAATTGAAGTTGTCAGGAAAAGATCCTCTCTGATACTATTCACATTCTCCAATGGCTCAGGTCCACAACATTATTCATGTAAGATGCATCTAATTCCATGCATGATCATACTGATTGCAACCGAATTCAGTGTGGAGTAGATTACTGTGCACAGCTGGGTACATAAAGTGGGTCAAGGTGATAGCAGCCTGACCTTGGACAACCTATGGGTAGCAGATTTCTATTAATAGTCTAAAAACACACTGGAGAACAGCTTGCACCACAACAGTAGCTACACTTAAAGAGATTGACAAGGAAAACTAACCCTGTCCAGCTAGCCAAGGTCTACTATTTGGTCTAACCACCAAATTTATTTTTGGCATGTGGTCAAATACTCAAAAGCCAAAACTACATCTGTGTAAAGTTCACTGCCTTGCAGATTTCCCAGTGAATGTTGACACAGCTGAGCAATACCACAGGCTCTAAGTGTCCAAGAGGCCTCCCTCGAGGCCTAGTAGCCTGCAAGGAGGGAGAAACTCTCCACAGGGCTTATAAACTGAGGCTTTGACTGCTATTACAACAATGTAAAAGTGAGGAGGGAAAGGAATAGCCTAATAGGGTTAGTGCTCTGTGAAAAGTGGGACAAAGATATTAACTACATACAAACCACTCCCAGCATCTGAAGTTCCTAAGCTACAGATGACTGCATGCTTGGACAATATGAGGGGGAAAAAAAAATCACACATGCTAGTCTTTTTCTAATACTCCCTCCAAAGCATTTGCTTTGGGACAAAAATGAACAGAGGGTACCAGACTAGACATAAGGCATACTGTAGCTCTGATGTTCAAAGAGGGGATGTCATAGTAGGAACAAGTTACAGTGTGACAGCTAACTAAGAAGTGGTATTTATCACTGTCAAGTAAACAGCTATTGCCAAACTGGGGGCCAAGCAACAACTTGAATTTGCAGTACCTCTGCCCACCTGCCAGTGATAAGTGACTGCTTAAACAGCCTGACTAAAAATACAGAAATTGTAATGCTGATCACAGGGCAATCTCCATCTTTGCTATGGGAAGGAGTCCATCTGCCCAGCTTTGTGCAGGCACATAGGCCACCTTAACAACAAATGATTGTAAACACCTCTGGAAAAGGATTAGGAGTTGATTCTGATAATGTGGGCACCCAGCATCTAGAGGTACACAGATACTGCCTGGCTCTTCTACAGCTCCTTGCTTCTGATAGATTTCAGCATCTTTCACCAAAGGAAGGGAAAACTATACTCCAACAGGATAATACTGGAGAAATCAAGAGAACCAAGTTGATCAGAATCCCAAACACTGGCCTACTGTCTCTTAAAAGAGTTCTCAGTGAGAGGTTATAATGGAGTGGAATCACAGGACTTGATTAAATCCTTTTGTAGTACCCTATCCCACACATTTTCAGGGACATGAATGCATTCCACAACGTATCTGAGTCCTGGTCGAAGTCCTGCTGTCAGTCACTTCTGACTAACAGACACTCCTTCCTGTTGAACAAATCCCAAATCCACCCTGACTTGATACATAATATGTATTTCCTTTATAGCTAGCACATGATACCTTGACTGAACACCACAGACTCCCACAGCAAGAGTGCACTCCTCAGGAAAGCTGAACATGGTATCTCCATGAATTAGAATTCATTCAGAAATTAAAACATATGAGAGAAGGGACATGAAATCCAAACCAAAAAATTTAGCACACATTACATGATCCACATAACATACATGGCCTTCTTTACTCAGAATGCTCTTTTTAACCATGCTATAAAGAACATAATTTTCCCAAGACTACTGGTTGGAAATGAAGATGCTACTGTAGTTAAAACACAGCTGAAGACATCTTAAAATTAGGCATTCTTGAAGCTCTGGGGCTTTCAAAAACATGAGTTTAGAGTTGTCAAGCCTTCAGGCAGATTACTTAGGTTAATAAACAAATAGAAGGGAAAAAAAAAACCCAACAGAAACTAGTAGAAAACATCTGATTTTAAGGTACAGCTCTAGGAACACTGACTACAGGTCTTTCTGCAGTAATTACTACATGATTTACCTTTGCTAGATCTTCTTCTATAACATCATTTCGCATCTGAGCAGCATCCAACTGAGTATAGAATCGTGCACCAATCATAGGCATGATATCGTTTACACTGCGAAGTCTGTTTTGGTCAGTCAGCAAATACCTGCCAAAATAACCCAACCACCAAAGATTACTTTTTGCAAACGCCAAACATTATATTCCATTATGATTTTATAACTATTTACTTTTTGTATTTAATACACAAAGCTGAAAATTGTTATGTTTCTTAAAAGACGATCTCATCACGAAAACACAATTTGCATGTATACATCTAGTAAGTTATTTATACAAGACAGGAGTATACTTCCATGAAACTGCGCAGTTCATTCAAACAGCAAGAACATATACAAAAAGAGAGATGGATGCAGATTCAGACAGCAATGCAATTGTTTTTCAAATGAGTAACGGAGAAAAGACTTCTACTTTTCCCACTCAGGCTGCAAGGGAGAAAAAGGCTGACTATATTGAAATGACACAAAAAGAACACACAGCCAGAAAAAGCCAGCACTCAACCTTTTGGCCAAAAAGTCAGTGTGCCTATTTCTCAGTACCTTCTGAAACTGTAAGATAAGACTGGCATACTGCTATTGTAGAGAACATGCAATGAACCCCAGTATTTAAGACAACTGAAAATGCTTGTTTTGTTTACACTCCTAATTCTTACTAAGAGCTTTACCAGCTTCATACAAAAAAATTTATATCAATGTTTAACAGCACACTGACCACGCAAACAACTCAACAACAGTAGATTTATCTGTAATCTTACTTGCATTTAAAAATACCATTTGGCTTTTGCATTTGTATACATTAAAAAGAGATGCAATTTCCTTTAAAAGGTTTATTAAACAAACTTACAAAATCAGATTCTTCAGATCAGAGGAATAGTTGATTGTCACCAGTTCCATTGCTTTCTGCAAATTCTCTCTCTGAATTCCTGATAAAGAATTGCAAGCCAAAGCCAACACAACTTTCCCCAGGGAGATCAGATCTGCTTGCTAATAGGGAAAACACACATAGGTAAGATTCTTAGTACAGATAAATACTACCTATGGTACTAGATGGTGCTAAAGAGAGACAATTCCTCAACAACCTTAGAAGAATTTGAGCAACTAAAGTAAGTACTATTCAAATCACAGTTCAATATGATTGTTCAAGTAACAGTAGTTAAAAAGTTAAAAAGAAAATGTGTCCTGACACCTAGCAATTTTTACGTACTATATTTATCTTTGAATGATTAAAATTTACCTATTTTTAGCTTAAGGACAGTACCAGAGAGAACTGTGTAGTGAGCAGAAGCTCTGTAATAAGGTTCTCTGAGCCACCCACCTGCTCAATCCTGACAAGCCAAGGAGTTGGTGGCAAACAGAACAAGTCTTCTCAATATGAGATGTAGAAATAAAAGGATTATTTGTTAAACTGAAACCAGCATCTTCTGCAATCATATTTTTTCAATCTAGCCATCCAGTGTGAATTCCATACTGGGATTCACACCACATTCTAACACATGATATCACCATTTTAACAAATTGCTCAAATATTTTCATCTCTGATGGACAGTGTGAAAAGATCTGAACTGTGCCAAATAACTAGACAGGCATGTACAGCTGCCAAACAGAACAGTATTGTGTGTTATAAAGAAACCGCTGCATTACTAAACATTTTTGTTAAAAGCAGAACTGCTTTTAAAAGATGAATGCTGGATACAGCCTACTTTGCCATAACAGAAAATTCTGCCAGTATTAATAGCCAGCCATGAGAAATGATTTTGAAAAGCTGTAATAAATTTTAAATCCCACTGCTAAAAGTAAGAGCCTAATTTAGTAGCAAACAATGACATGCTTAGGAAAAGGTGAACTGATTCTTTCCATGGAAAGGCTTTCAGCTGCACACAACTTGGCCAACCTTTAAAACACCTGCAGCCTTCCATGCTGGACATGCCTCAGAGTGAATTTAACAGTCAGCCATAGATATGAAATTAGAATTTTCCTGGGGTTTTGGTTTTGTTTTTTTTTTTGAAAATATAAGATATTTTTGCAAAAATAAAACCATAAAAGCTACTAGTAATTGAGAATGGCAGTTTCATAGCCTAGAGCAAGGCCAAGCCATTTAGCAGAGAATGGTCATACAAGAAATCCACCTTCTGTCATTTCTGTAAGAAAGGCTAAAAAATCTGGCAGCATTAGAAGTTCTGGTTAGAATTTGGCAGCTTTAGAAAAATGCTGTGATGGTGAACATGCCACAGCCCCTCACAGCTCTTCCACCCAGAGGCATAACCACACCTGCTGCCTCTGGCTGCAGCAGCTGAGGAGAGCCTTCCCTGAAGCCACATCTCCCAGGTGCTGAGGGAAAGGGAAAAATACCAAACCTTTCCAGGTCCCTCAATGTCCCTGCTGTCCTATATCAAGTATGATTAAGCAGCACACTTGGAACATGGATACACAATATGCCAGAAGTTAAAAAGCTTATTATTCTTGTAGCTAATGAAGACAGGATGTGGAAAATGAGACAAATAAGGACAAAGTGGTTGAAAAGGAGGTGGGACTGGCATTTGCTAGACTATTTCCTAAGCAACACAAAATTTCTGAGTATTAGAATTCCTTTTTCCTTTACTAAAGAGACATTAATCAGAGCAATAAACCCCCTTTTTGGTGTGAACTTGCTTCCATTAACAAGTAGTCCATTTCAGCAGCAGGGAACACTGCTATGACTCTAAACAGAGGATTTCTGCCAGTGCAGTATCTAGAAATGTGTCACCTGAGAGAAAGGCATTTTCATTATGATTTTTTTCTCCAAAAACTCTTGGAAGAAATATGCATTTGTATTAACCACAGTTAGACTTCTTTCTGCAGTCCTCTACTTTACACTTAGTACCTTTCAATTTTTAGTCATTCATAAGGATATAATCTATATAAATTCTGTATCACCACACAATCCTGAGACACTGAAAATATACAGGCAAGACCCTATGAAAATTGTCTTCCTTTGCACAGGTGCTTTCATAATACAGATTGTGTTAGATTTTAGAAATTATTGAAAAAGTCTTACATTTAACATCAGACAGGAAATTTTAAATTTGAGCTTTGTGAGGTTTTGAGCATTTGACTAGCAACTTTAAATTTTTGTTTGCTTTGCAAATTGCATCTACCAGAAGAACTGGCGGAGAGAATATGACACCCTAATGCACTCCCAAACACAGAGTTTTCAAATTACAGCCAATTATTAGCTTGTTTTAGACACAAAAGTGGCTTGGATTCATCCCACTTATTTTAGGAACTTCAAGCATTCAGTCAGGAGACTGATCAATTTAAGACAACTGTAACTATGTAAGTCAATTCAGATTTTGAGCCGCTGAACTGCTCTCTGGAGGCACCTGACTACTCATTGTTAGCTGAAACCCTGAAAGAAAATGTTATCACAGTACCCAATTTTTGAAGTTTTACAAGAGCACAAAGGAGAACCAGAATATCACAAGCTGGAAGGATCCCATAAAGTTCAGGATTTCTGAGAGTCAGATTACTGTTTTAAAAGCAACTAAACTACCATCTGCTGACCCACTCTACAAATTCAGACAGGGTACATGACTTCCCAGAAGCTGGGTTACACCATTCTTTCTGTAAGGAAGCAATCCACATATGCCTATTAAGTCCTAACCTATCCTCTGAAAATATTCATCTCTTATTGCTCCTAGGCAAAGAAAGGTTAAAGAAGGCACTCAAGAACTACAAGACTTCCTTGCAGCAGGAACACCAGAAATATATTTTCTGCATTCCTGTAGTAGCCTTGCTAGTACAAGGTACAGATCTATATTAGGTACAAGCATTTCCTTGTTTATACTCCCTATTGTGTTTGCATGCTCCTATGGATCACGTAAGTTCCTTTTGCCACTGATCTGACAGAAAACTTCTGCTACGGTAACTATCAACAGTGACTATGAAGTAATACTAAGTTGATTCCTAACTTCAAGGAAAAGCTTTACACCTTCAAGCACAGGCAGCCTTTTGCTCAAAAATGCATCTTGCATGCAATTAATAGCCATTTAATTAGTAATTCAATTCATAACTGTAACCTCTACCAATTTAATTTTTTATCTCTTGAAAGCTTTGCAAATAAGGATTTTATCAGCATTTAGTTCATTGATAGAGCTTTTAAATAGCATTCACTAAAAACCAGCACTAGGGGCTAAACTCAGAAACAACCCCCTTCATTAATGTCTTCCTGTTACCAAGTCAATTTCAAGAATATCAAGTGAGTCTTTTAAATATTTAAATGTTAATTGCATAGGTACCCTTTCTTTTTTTTTTTATTAAATAGGTATGTGCCACTTTGCCAAATTCCCTAGAGATAACATTTTACACATTTGATTTTAACAGCCAGACATGTAAGCTATTCAAATAAAACTTTTTTTTGACAGGATCCATTTTCCAGGAGCACTTTGAAACCAACACTACTTTTTATTTTGTTTTGTTTATCCTGATCCACTGCTATGCTTGGATCAGTATCAGCTCATCTATACTCCAGTTCTGTGGATTCACTTAAAAGGATAAGTTCTGGAATTGTCTTTAGAAGTACCTCAAAGTTCCTACATTTTGGTGGGTTTTTTTTTAGAGTCAATATTAGTACTTGTGACATCTCTTCAAACTAGTTTCTTTAAATTTGGGGAGATGCATGTGAAAGTTATTTTGGTTTGCTAAACTAAAAATATTTACTTTAAGCAAAAGTAACCTTATAGCCCTTGTTAAAACAGTAAAACTTACATTCTCGTATTTTTGCAAAGGGCAGGACTTATATTTTATTCCAAATACAGAAATATTTATTAAACCTTTTTACTGTTTCCTGTATCACCATTTAGCTTTCCCATCTGTACCTTGCAATTGACTGACACAAGACTTATAGACTGGGGTGGGATGGGAAGTCATGTGCTGCAGTTTATACAGGTTTAACCCCTGGTTTTCAATGCAAGTGGCCATTCATATTTCATTTACTTCTTTTTAGCTTAGCTTCCCTTTTTGTTGCCTTCATGTAACTCTTAAATGATCATAGAGATTAATGTGTTTAACACAGATTGCAAAGAACTATTGCATACCTTTTACTGTTACATAGTCCCTCACTGTTCTGGCCAAAGTCTCTCTTTATATTAACCATGGGAAACACCCAGAAAATGGCAAATCCTAACAAATATAGCTTTCTCCATTGAAGACAACAACAAGGAAATGCATATTAGCTGGGCAGTAAACCAAGAGATAACCTACATTTTTAACAGTCACAGAAGTCCCAGAGGAATTCAGGAACTGGGTCATGGATTGAAAGGAAAAAGGACGAGCAGCAGCTGTTATTTTGTAATTTTATCTGGCTAGGGCAAACAAGGTAGAGCATGAGAAATGACCCCTAAATTTCAAGGAATGGAACCAGTCTGGCACCTCTGAAGGAAAAAAAAAATGGGCAGTGAAAGCCTTGCTCTTCTAGAAAAAAACAACAAAAGAAAACATCATACTGTATTTACTAATTGCAGTTTAGATCTTCCAAAGGAAGTATTTAGGAGTATTTCTTTTCTGGTTTAGCAGACCAACCTAAACAATTTGAATATTAACAACACATAAAACATGAAAAGCCATTCCCCCTAAACAAAACTAGGCGTTATCAAGCAAGTCAGCTGCCATGTGTTGAGCTGCTATGGTGGTAAGTGCTTTTGACAGACTTGTGTACCTGCAAGTATTTTTAGATTTGTATCTTCAAGTATTTTAAATATTTTTCTGTACTTGAATGTCATAATATCTCAGGAGGATCCCTTTCCAAGCTGAAATTAAAATAGAAAAGTACTTAGATTTAAAAAAACCCCTCTCATTACATTTTTAGGCATGGATTTACATGTATTTTCATCTTCTCTGAGCTGTTTTCCACTAAATTATTACCAAAAGGCCACTGATATGCCGCTGAGTGTGTGTGTGAGCATGAAATCCTTTGGTGTATTCCTCAAAGCACACTGAAAACTGCTTTACTGTACCAATAAAAAAAAAAGTTATGTTCTAGGACATGGTCTCTAACAAGCTAGTTTCTTCTGGCCAAAGTTCAAACATTTCAGTTATGACCTAAAGACTCGGAATAAGCAGTTTTCACAGTAAATAAGGTCAATTAATGAAAATAAATTAAATCCAACTCCCTACTGTAGTCTTTCACTCCCAGTACAGACAGGGTATGTGATGACTGCTGAAGTAATGTACTTTACCCTGAGGGGAAGTTAGGGAAAGAGGCACTCCTGTACACAGTGATGCTCCAGATGACTGTGGAACACTTTTTGTTAAGTCTAAAGGGGTTCTTCTTAATTCAGGAATTATGCAGAGTCCACGCTTCAGAGAACACCAGGAGAGCACGGAAAAACTAGGAGCCCAAAATAAAGATACACTAGAATCTTTTTGGCACGAGGAGAGGGTCTAAATGCAGTTAATTGAAAGATCTTACTCCTCTCAACAGGTATTCAACACTTAGTTATTTATGTTAAAAATCACAAAAGACAGAGCAAAAACTATTACTGCATCATTATTTTTTATCTGTAACACTAAATGTAAGATTTTTCTTCTCCTTCCTTTAGAAATCTCTATTTCTAGTAGTTTCTGACTTAAGTTTGTTAAATACTATAGTTCAACCTGTTTGGTGAGCTTGCTGAAATTTCAGAGGCAGAAGATATCAAAATGAGCATTCACATTTATAAATTATAAGCAATTTTGAACAGTGTATGGGAAAACCAAGATCAAATCAGAAGTGAAAAAAATACAGTCATTTACAGATAGATACAGTGGACTACAGTTTAATTAAAGTACTTGTCTTCCAAAAGGAATCACACTGGTTTGCAGTAATCCCTTTGCCAAGCCACCAACCTAACTGGCAGTTGTCATACCTGAAACTGAGCCATTAACGCCAATGGATTATTTTGACTGTTGTCAAATGTCAAAACGTCAAAGATTCCAACACAGTTAACTCGTAACCTTTAGGAACAAGAAGAGAAAAGGAAAAATTGCCATTAAACTTTATTGTTACTCAATTTTTCCTCTAGCATTCATTGAATTTTTTGATATTATAAAAGTCATTGGTACTTAGCAAATTACTATCAATCAGAAAAGAATGATTGTATGATTTGATAAAACACACAGATAGTATTCAGTCTGCAAATAAATCAACAAATTTCTAAACTGACAGTAGTGGGTCTGATCAGTAGTTTGAGGATAATGTGTAAGTCTTCCCAAATACTCTTTAAAGGAAGACCTTTAAAAAACCAAAGTTACAAGTTTTAGCACCATGCCTCAGGCCACTTGAGAGAACTTACAAGCTATTTACATATCAGGTGCACAGTCAGCAGCTGTCAGGAACTCAGAGCACAGTAAGACTGAGTGCTTTCATTACCTTGTTTTGCCTGTTACCAGAATCTTCGTTGGATCCATAACTCTGCACGCCAGTCCTGCTGTGTGAATGGTCCGCAAGGCAGAGCTGAGCTGCACAATGTAAGCCCATATCAAAGACTCTGGAAGCAACCCCGCATGCTGCCGTGGCAGAGGTCCATCATGCTGACCTAGAATCAAAACATTGTGAGCATTAATAGAAGGCTGCTGTGCAAAAAGCAAAGTACTGCATCTTGAATTATACAATTAATTCACACACTCATTTCATTTAACTCTTAATAGTCCTTGAAAGATAAATCTATGTTGCTTTGAAGGTGAGTTTGGGAATAGATTTTTTCCCCATTGGTTGGTTTCACGTGTGTTTTTTTGAAAATGCTGACAATTAATTAGGCATTATTATTTTCATTCTCATATTCAGGGAAATTTTGTTTTGAAGTTTAGAATGAGCATTGATTGGAAATTGCTCAAAGTAGATGGTACATCAAAATATGCAGGCACTTCAGAAGTAAAAACACCAATATCCTGAAACAAAGAATAAGTATCACAAGAGCTGCAACATTTTACTGCCTTTATTGCAGGAAGGCTTCCCAATTAAACATTTTCTATCATCTAATAAGAAAAAATAACAAGCTAATTTCAATTTACAAGAGCAAATCAGACAAAGATTTGGAGGCTACACATCACTGAACACAACTTCACTTACATTTTGCTGTGACACAGCTCCCTGACAAGTTATCCCTGCATGACCCCTATTCCATGGGTAGTATGAAAGAAATGCATTATTCCCCTTCCAAACAGATTTGTAGTCAAAAGTAAAACTCAATCTTTGCAAATACACACTCAAATCCTACATTACAAACAGTTTGAGTAATACTGAGTCACAGATGAAAAAATGGAGATATAGATAACAAATGTTATTTTAAGTATGATGCGTGTAATTCAGGTAAGATGGCATTGTTTGCCTTGCACAAAGTTGAAGCAGAAGAAAATACATCCAGAGTAAGACAGTACATCTCAATTTTACAAACCATAAGAGATATTCAAGAGGCTGCCTCAGTACTGATTTTGCTTGAGACCAGTAATATCATCAGTATTATGTAAAATCATGTAAGCATCTGATTGGTTTCACTGTGAACTGACTGCACTGCACTCTTCTCTAAATATTTATTTCTTTTCAGTTGTTTTTTTTTTTATTTGTTTGGTGATTTTGGGTTGTTTTGTTTTTTGTTCTTGTTGTTTTCTGAGGTTGGGGTTTTTTTAACCCCCCTTTTCCTACACGACCATATCAACAACTGTGCATTTGATCAAAGTATGTGTATACTTGCACGCATATGCACACACAAAATATATGCACAGTGAAAAAAAAAGTGGAACACATTCCTGATAACTTTTTACTTGGAAATTTTACTGACTTTGGGGTCATGGGCTGGGAATGTTACAAGCTTTCATCTGAGCTTTGTTTTGTCCATTTTTGAAATTTTAGTTTGCTTTTCAGGTTTAAGGGACTTTGGTTTAGATTATGAAGATCAAAATGCTGACTCCTTTAAAAAGCAATAAACTTGGCAGGTCTACTGAAAGCTGAATATAATGAGATATTGTTTGCTTTTTTCTGGCCCCCTGATGAATCATTATGCAAATCACTTCCCACAAAAAACATCATTCCAAGTCTCACGCAGCAAACGTTTTCCCTCATAACTCTCTCTTCTTCAGAATGACAAAAATTATAATATAAAATGACTGAGAAGATACAACCTCCTGTACTAGTTGAGACTCTTTACTACTTGCTGTAGAATGCACTTTATATCTGGTGAACAGCAACATGAGTATTAAGTTTAACAGGGATGTGCATGGATACTCTAAGACAGTTACATCTGTATGAAGTAAGTCCAGAATAGAAACGTTGCTATAATATCCCAAAGAAAGAGAAGCTGAAACTTGGCAGTTATTTTTGTGCATGCATAACAGCACCTGCCCCTTGATCTTCAAATTAAGGCAACGCAACCAAGAGAATATCCAATATATACAGAAAGAACAGAGTTTGACACAGCTTCTCCTCATCTATCAGAAAATCTTAAGCAACATTATTTTATTACTGGAAAAACTTACTTGAGGCTACAGCCAAATCTAGGCTGCTGCTTTCCCAACTGTTGGCTGCATCCCACATTGACATACACTAAACATACAAGCTAAAACATGGGAAGAATCAGCTTTGAAATGCCTTCTTGCATATCTATCTGTTCAAAATAAGCACGATTAAAAGCAGTTCAGTTTGCTGCAATGCTGACTATAATGTATGTCTCAAGAGGCCCATCACACCTGCCACAAACAGCACTTGAGCAAGGACCCAAGGAGATGAGACCCAAAAGCTTGCTCTTCAGGAAAAACACACAGTTGGAAAGCTTTCCAAACAGTGCTAAACACAAGGAAAAACACAACAAGAATATAAGTAAACATTACCCAAATGATCAGAGTATTACTTGAAAAAGTGTTTTTTTAAGAGATTCCATGGTTGATTTGCAAAGGCTTCCCACCACAGGCTGAATCTACAGCTACAACAAGCAAAATTTCAGACTGTGTTCTTCCCACATACTGCATGGCAGATTCACCTCTCCCAATAATTTCATCTCTGTGATGTAGAACACAGCCACTAATGGAAAAGATTAAAAATTTAAAACCTGCCATTTCAAAAACACAGGTTATCCATTATTTTTCCTTGCCACATTGGGACAAACATAAATAAATAAAAATGCTGACACTTATTTTTTAGTTCTGTGGTATGCTGTTGACAACAAAACAAAAAAGTTACCCTCTGTAACAGTGTAGATGTGTATATTGGGTTTCTGCGTATTTAAAAAAGCATTCAAATGAAATTCTGTTCTCCAGAGCAGGTGTGAATCCAGGAATAGTCCTGGGGTGGGAAGTAAGACCTGGGAACACAAGCAGTAGGACTTGTTTGACATCATCAGGAACACTGAAAGCATGCCAAGAAACAGCAATTCTCACACAGTTATGAAGGAAAAAAAAACCCAATTAAAGATTCAGCTGTTTACTAAATTGAACCTCTCAGGCTTGTAAACCAGTCTTTTACATTTAAAACTGTGAATCGATCAGGGTTTACCTGGTGTTCCTAAGTTAAAGTACTGAAAACAAGACAAATGCAGTAGCCTTCATCTCTCCTTCAGGGAAACTTGGGGTTTGGTTTTACATTTCCCAGTTTTGAATATACAGAAAGTTTCTGATCTACTAGAATGCAGAAGTATTTTTTGTAAAAATTCCAAAGCTACTGAAAACTCAAACTTACTTTGAAAAAGTTGCAGCTCTTGGCAAAGGTATTTTAGGATAATTATTAGTCACATATTTTGTCTTCAAAAACATCATGCTGACTTTCAATATTCATATATTCTTACTCCTCATCACACACTATTCATCTAGTCATCACACAACTTATTTCTTTTTCAATAGAAGGGGTATTTTATAAAAAAACATTCAGCACATGGGAATGCAAAAACTGTGAAGTCAGCAGTGAAGTCCATTTTTGTGCATGACATACTACTATTAGTGTGTCAAAAGCAAAGCAAGTTTCCCAGACCATGCTTATCTTCATCAGAAAGTATTTGTTTGCTGAAAAACAGAGACTGTACTGCTGAAAACTCCTACTAACAGCATGTACGCCAACATTTAATTACTCAGAGTGTTTAAAAGCAGACCAAAAGACATAACAAAGGCATGCTTATCTCTGCCAACCACAAAAACTCACCAGGACAAACTTTTCTGGCAGCTGTCAATAGTTACTGTTAACTGGCCAGGATTTTCTGGCTGTTAAGTTTTAAAGTACATACATTCAGAATTTAGTTTACCATTCAATTATTGCACTGTTAAGAGCAACATCTCAGTACTTTTGGGTTAACTTGCTAATGCAAAGAGAACATAATTTTGGCAGAGACAAATGCACTAATATGTGCCACAATCTGAAACTAAGGAATATAAGAAAGGTGGAAGAATACCAAAAAGTTCCAGAACAACATATTTAATGTTTAGAGTATGAAGAAGTGTTTTGAGGAAATAGAGGAAGTGAGAATAATATAAGAAACTTTTCAAATAAATGTACTTTGAGTAGCAATTAACTGAAAATTCAGATTCCTGATTTTAAACCATGCAAACTTAGTAAAGTATGACAGAACAATGTTAGATTATCACACACTACCATCTGAAGGAAGAGGAGTTATCACTGAATAAAGAACACAAGCAACAAATTCTACTGCATTCAGAAGTCAGAGACATTAGTTTACAGTATAAAAATAAATGTAAGCTGCTATTTTTCTTCCCCACACCAAATCTCTATCAAGGTAGTCCTGTAACAGGGTCTGTAAATAATATGGCAAGAAGAAAACACCCAAGAGTGACCACATTGACACCAGTGACATGCAAGACAGCCATGTAAACCATAATCCTCATCTTTTAACTATCAATGTCTCATGTTGCCAACTGAAGTGTTCAACATAAATAAGGTTGCATACCTGAAATCAAATTCTCTGAGTTCACTGATCAGGTTCACAGTGTTGTGCCTCCTAAAACCTTTATAAGCAATTGTACTAATCTGGGCCTCATGCTGCAGAGTACCCAACTTCCATCCATTCCCCTGCTTCTCTTGGGAGTCTCCTCTAGGCAGGCAGACGGCCAAGAAACTCTGTGAGGGGATGGAGAAAGGATCCATGAAGGCAGGCAATTCTGAGAAATCAAGTTATAGGTATGCAATCTTATTTTTCTCTCTTAAATTGCTCCTTCTACTGAGGACTAGACTAGAGAGCAGCAGTTATCAAAAAAAAAAAAAAGAAAAAAAAAAAGAAAGGCCAAAGCAAAGATATGCAGAAAGATTTGGCAAAATTTGGGACTTCAGGTGACTTTTCCCCTAATTCCCTAATTTGTCTACTGAAAATATTGACAGTGCAGGTAATAAGTGCCACAGTCAGGACAAAGTTATCTTCCCTACATATCCCTGTAAGTTCTGTTGCAACAGCTCATTTTAATTGAGTAATACTTTGGTTTGAACAGACATTGATGTCTTATTTCCAACTTGCCAGATCATTCCTGCCTACAAAAGGAAGATGAAGTAGGCAAAACAAAGGGTCCAGATAGCCCATGGGCCTGTTTCAAATACACATACCCTAAAATCAGCTTGCCATGAATACTGAAGTGTATAAACATAAACAAGTAGAATGTTCTATTAGCCTCCAGTGATTTGCAGCCCAGAAGTAAATATCATGCCTATGCAGTCCCCAAATATTTCTCCTGCATGAGTAAGCCCACTTCCCCCTTGAACCTAGGCAAATGTCCACAACAGTCTGTGAAAGTTCCATGGCTTAATTATCGTTACACAGGTTTTGAATTTGCTACCTGTCTAGTTTCATTGGTAAGGCCTTGGTTGTAGGCTGGAAGAAATAATAAACTTTTTTATTAATTTATTTGTTAATCCAAATGATTTTTCAGACCATATTCCAGTAATTTTTAACCCCATTATTATCCCTTCCATCTTTAAAAGCATGAAAAGCATTATTCCACTTTGCTGTTCTTCATCCAGCTGTTCCACACCTTTGATCATCCCTGTCACCTCATCTCAACCTCTTCACTGCTCTTCTACACCCTTCAAAATGCACGAGGAGGCACACAGCTACAGACAGGAGTCTATCAGGCACACACATCTTGAATACAATGTCTACCATTTCACTGCCCTTTTCTTAATAAGCTACATCAACCTATTTCCTATTTACAGCTATTCAGGACAGTACTCTCTTCAATCTACTTAACTATGGTCCCAGACCTGTTACTGAGTGGCAACAGTCACAACAGAGGCCATTGCTTCATGTTTAAAGCTAGTTACATTTTTCCTTTGATTACACTGGTTTACATTACATCACCTGCTATATTATCAGTAGGAGTTCCAGTCTTGTAAGATCCTTCTGCAATCAATCACAATTGGCCTTTGTTTTTAACAATCCAAATAATTTGGTATTACCAGCAAACTTTGACAGACCATTTATCTTCAGAGCAAACAAGCAAATGTGTTAAGAAATACAACTCCCAGGACATCTTCTTGTGAGACCCATCAGTGATCTTCACTGTTCACTCTGTTTCTAATATTCTAACCAGGCATTAACCTGAGAACCTTTTCTGCCATATGACTACTTAGGCTCTTTTAAAGACTCTGTTGGACTTCATTGAAAACTCCAAGGTCTTATCTACTGGATCTTCCTTTAAAGAACTTGGATAGGTTAATGGGACATGACTGCCCTTTATAGGACCATAACTTAATTATTTTCCAGTGTGACAAAAGAATGTGCTCCCAAGAATTTTATTATAACTTCTATTATTTTATCTAGAACAGACATCATTCTACTATGATTCTCTAGAGAGATACAAAAACATAACAAGGACTGATTCACATGGAAATTGAAAACCATGACTGGGAAACGCTCAGGGGTCTAGTCCTGCACGTAACAGTCATTAACCTAGCAGTAGATCTTCCAGTTTTATCTCACCAAATTAGTTTCACATCAGGCTCATTGAATCTGTAATGGCACTCTGATTTGACACAGGATATGACACAATCAAACTGGGGTTTCCTCCATCTGAGATATTACCACCAAAATCAGTGGAGGAAATCAAGTTCCATCTCCACTTATAATGGTCAGCTCAGTCCAAAGTCAGTGAGAATTATGCAGTATATAAGGTACCCACAAGTCCTTGAATGTATATAAGGTTTTCTTCAAGCCTTTGAACATACTCACACACTACCAAACCAATGTACTCTGATGTACAAGATAGCCAAGTGAAGTTCTAGATGCCAACCTTTGAAATAGTTTGAATTCACAGCTAAAAGCTCTAATTTCAAAAAAGGCACAAGAAACAAAAATCCCTTAGCTTCTGTTTCCCTTCATACACTGGCAGCCTAAAGACATTTAGGGAAGATCTTCTCTAATTAAAAAATAAAACAGGCCATGTCACAGTCCTCTGGTCATCTTTAGTGCTTGATGTAATTTCAGGACTGGTCCTGCCTCAAGCAAGAAGTTGGTCCAAAAAAGCTCTGCACGGTATTTTTCTACCTTAAGTCTTTCTGTGATTCTATTCAGCAGTGACCACATCTCTTTCTCAGCATGGCACTGTTTGTGTTGTAAATACCTGACTGCAGTTTGTAAGACTGCAGGGATCACAAACTGGTCCTAACAGGAAGAAGGATCGACAGCACACTGGTTTGGAGAGGAAAAGGCTTTAGACACAAGCATAAGAGCTCTACTGGGCTACTTGCTGAGCCACAGACCATCCTGTGACAGATTTCATTTAAGAATGTTGATGTAGTTTTAATGACTCCATTGAAGCTATGTATAAACATCATTAAAAAAAATTTCAGACCTAAGATGTGAAGCTGGTGTCTGAAAAGAATGTGGCACAGGGATTTTTTTAATCCATTTCTTGTCTTAACTAGTACTTCACATTTCAAATCATCAAATAAAATACTGTCTAATTATTTCTCATAATACATAGTGCGGAAAAAAAACAGATGAGTAGGACACCTAAACAGCAAGAATCAAATTGGCACAGCATATCTTTTGTATTTTCTGGAACTAATGCCATTAAATGTTAGGTGTTACCTGGTGACAGACCTGCAATAAGGACACCAGAGCTCCTTGCTCACAGTTTGTTTTTTTTCAACTTATTTTTCTTTTAAAGAGTTGTAATTCCCTTACATGCTGACATCAATTTTATACTTGTTTGATAATTTTAAAAAATTTTACAAATAGGAGGTGAAGAAGAAGTCTCTCATATCAATCAGCTTATGGCATGACAGAACTGGTTAGCCAAAAAATTAAGCTGAACAACTATTTGTGACCAGATGTTTACTGCAGAAACAGTGTATAGAAGCATTGTATCATAGTGTGGTTTCCTTACCCCATTTCCGTTTTGTGAAATAGGAATCAGCACTAGGGTCATTGAAGTGTCTGCTCATCATAGTCTCTCCTCCAGCATGAAAATCATACGCAAACACTAAAGCTTAAAGATAGAAACAGGTGATATTTACTAACTCAGTATTTGAAAAAAGTATCGACACATCAGCTTGGGGGAGTGGGGGGGAGGTGCAGTGGGCAAGAAAAAACAAAAACTTACAATGTTCTCCAAAAGCTTTAGTGGTAAACACTTCACGCAAAGTTACGATATTTGAGTGCTGAATCTTTTTCCACATGTCAACCAATACCATGCACTTTGTGTTAACAAGACGGAAACCTAGGAAAAAAATGAAACCCATGGTTTGAAGTATAATGTTTAGAATGAGAAATTTTTATTTTAGCATTTCTGAAACTGCTGAAAAGCAACCAGACACTAAAATATGACTGGTATGCTTCAGGATGCTACTGAGACAAGTGAATTTTTCTCACCATGTATCCTCCGAAGGCAATACGGCAGGTCATCTTTACTATTTACAGCTTTATAGCACGATGTAATGTACCCAAAGTTGCTCGTTTTCTGTATCCGATTGGGAGGTGGCAGTGGTTCCAAAGGAAAGAGACTGTGGTAGCTGTCCACTTCTGCAGGAACTGCTAAAATCAGTTTATACACAGAAATATGTTAGGCCTCAACTGACTTTGAGAAAATTACTGAGTAGCAGAGAAAATTAAAATGACTTTCACTAATATATATATTATCTCCATCATCTTTTAGGTGCATGTGAAGTTAAAATTCACTATTTTTGCTTTAACACCAACATACTGGTAGGTTCCTAGAAGTGATCCCACTGACCTAAAATTGTCTTTAAAAAAAGTGTTACACGGAGTAAAATCAACAGAATAGATGACATTTCCATTCCATCTGCCATTTTCTCATTTACCTTAGAAATTCACCCTCATGAACGATATTTCTTTAGTGTTTTTCCTACACTAATTCAAGAATAAGCACCAATTTCCATGCAGACTTCCTACCATAGTAAAGACCACATTTTCATCAGGAAAAAAAAAGCAAGTATCAGTCTTTTGTGTTTTAATGTACTAGTTTATAAAACAGGGAGAGAGAAGTGCTAAAGGTTTGTAAATCAGATTAGGAGATTACCCTTGCACTTCATCCGGATTAAAACACTAAACTGCATTTTTTTAACTGCATCATTATCATACTACACACACATTTGATAAGATACTGCAAGCAAAAATTATTTAAATCAAACTGAATATTGTAAATTCCCCAAAAGCTAAATCACAGTAAATAGCATATGGTTCTTCTGCCTGACAGCTAGCACAAAGCCGTCTCTGATATATCAGCCAAGTCACTTCAAAACAAACTGCTTTGCTAGTTTACATACAACATTTGAAAAATATATCTACATTATATATAGATATATATATCTATATATTTAATATCTACAAAGTAATACAAAACTGTTTTTCACAAGGCTTAACTGTCTTAATGATTTTTCCTTTCTCAGCAATTTGAACAATTCCTAACCATTAAGGAGTTTCAAAACAGAAATAGGAGACAGAAAGAATAATTTGTATTTTTGAAACACTGCATTTGGTTAACCATGGCCCAGGCTGACAATTAAAGTTCCATGAAAAAATAAAAACAGGTGGCAGTTTCTGCAAGAGGTTGTTAATATAGATGAATGTACATGGTTGCAGAAAAACATCATCACTGTTTAAGAGTTTTGAGAAACACTTACTTACCAGGAATATCAGCCTGATCAATCTGGGCCATAGTTATTAGGTGTCTGTTGATGAGTTCCTGAAGGAAAAATTAAGCTTTGAACATTATAATTCTGTTATTTTTTGATAATTTAAGAAAACACTGTCTTTGAAGTACTAGCTACCTGTACTAAAATAGAGAATTAATGCAAGTGTCTAAGGCAGAGAGGGTCAGAAGATTAACAGCTTGAACATATGGATGATAAAATACCTAAATTCTTGAAGGAGCTTCAGAAGACATTTGCTATAGCTGGCACTGACAAAGGCACCTACTACAGTAAAGCTGAAATTAATAACACTCACAGCCAGCCCTGAGATAATGAACCCTGAGAAGAGCTCTTCAGCTAACACCTGCATACACTTCCATTTCAGTGGGAGACTTTCAAACTGAATAGTATTGCAGCTTAAAATAATGCTACAAAAATAAACCCATGCACACCAAAAAACCACATCAGTAATAGCACTGAGCTGAATAGTAAATCATGGCATGCAGATTAGATTGCAGTCATATATGTTGTAACTCATCCCCACCCTCTGTTGTACTCCACCTACTACAAGATTTGATTTTTCAAATTCTCCACAGGGAAAACTGACTGCACATATTGCAAGTGTCTACTTCTGTTCTACCATTAACAAATTTCTATTTTTGCCAAGACATTAAATGTTCCTTTACACTCTCAAACATCTTACCTGTCTGAGCTCATCTGCCATGAAGAAGGAAGGTGCATTTGCTTTTGGCTGCATGTAAGCAACATGAGGTGCAGCTGGATGGTAGATGTGGTAGTTCGGAAAGACCTAAAAATAAAGCATTTCAAGAAGCTTTCTGAAGTCCTTAAGGATCAAGCAAATGAAGAGTTTTCTCACTCTTTCAGTTCAAACTATGAAATCCTCATGTACAGTACAAGATACAAATCTATTGTCAGATATGTTACAATTCTTTTATGTTGTATTCACTTCTAAATATTTCAAGGGAGAGGGAGGTGTATGTGTATATATGTATGTAAATAGTTATTTCCACAGTTTTCTAACTGCCTTTTCCCCATTATTGTAAATATAAGACCTATTTAACCAATCAAAAAAAAGCTGACTTTTTGATGTTTTCTCATTATGTATGTATCCACTGAGACATATAGAATGCTTTCTGTGTGTTATGCTACTGCTGTGTTAAAACCCCAGAAACCTCTACACAGCTGTAGAAATATATAAAAATGTCTCTGGTCCTTATATTTCAGTGATTTTTGGAGAACAACTAAAATAACTAAAAGGACCCATCTTCATACAGAATAAGCTGTTTATAGCATTAAAAACAATATCTGTAGTATCAACCAATTCAGCACTTACAAACTCCAGACAGCTGTGTATTGAAAGCCAACCTACCATTCCTGTGAGAGGTGCTGGAGTTGTGTCAGTGTAGAAGTATGTTGTTCCACCCACTGTTTCCTTCTGGATCACCTGGCCAGTAGATGGGGGCTGAGAGACAGCGTTAGCGACAGACGCAGAGGCACTAGTAGGCACCATATAGTTTGCTGGGTTAGGAGTATGACTTCTTCTTCGAGGAGCAGGAGATGTATGAGGAGTTATTTTGGGAGAATGAAGAGGAGAAGATCCTGCTGACAGTGACATTCCTTAAAGAAACACAAGAAGACATTCTTGATCAAATCTGTCATCAAAAAAAATCAGCAATTTCAGAAAAGCAGCCTTTACTACCAACAACATTCTGAGCAGGTGAGACACTTAACTCTTCATATAGATATAGAAATCCTTGAGAGATAAAACAGTAAGACCATGACTGAACAGATATCTTTTCCCCAAAATCTTTGCTTATTGCAGAGAAATAGGGCTTTGGAACATACAATATACACATGAAGAACTGAAATGAAAAACGTAAGTAGCTGAAAAGGGAAGACAAGTCAAAATAATGCTGTGTCTAATGCTAGTTTGTTAAACTGCAAAAAGATAAAATATTAATGACTATGTGAGTGTTTACTTAACAGTTACATGAGCAGTCAATGGAGTTTGCTTAGCTGTAACTCATTTCACCTAATTATGCATGTACCTTTTATTAGAACTCCACAGCTATAAATGTCTCCAGTAATACGGCACACAAATAAGTGTGTTAATAATACACAAAATGCCACTATTAATAACATCAGGGGAGTAATTACCTATTTTCCTGCAATTATTATATTCAAAAGTCATCCTCCAAAAGATGTATTTTATATGTAAAAATAGATAACATCCCATGATATGAAGTCTATTAAATATTCCTGTTGGAATTTTCTAATTTATTTGAAATTATTTTATTGGCTGCTGTTCACCTTTAATATTACAGGGACAACTCCACTGATGCCCGAGAAACTCTGCTTCTAAACAAAGTGCATCAATGAGAAAAAAAAGGGCAACTTTTTTGCATACACACTTTTTATTTACCAAACAGTCTAATTACTTTGAGTTATTGCATGCAGAATTCTCAGAATTGCTTACTTAAAAAAAATAGGTGCTTGCTTATAAAAATTACTTGTAAAAATTAGGTGTAAAATGTAATAGACATTCCGAGGTGCTGCTGAGGAAGAGATAACCCTTCAAAACAACTCCTTGCAGAGTTACTTACTAGCAGAAGATCTGACATATTCAGGTGTTCAGATTAACACCAAGGAAAACATCTTTGAAAGGTATTATTGCTCAGTTCAGACTGGGATGCACTTTCTCTTCTATAAAGTCAGAATTGTATTAGTCATACTAAATCTTTTCCTTGAAAGGATAGAAGATACACAGCTTTCATATTTAACATTCTGTTGACAGCTGAGAATTCTTCTTTAATTAAGAATGGTTAGTTATTACACAGATATTTGATTAAATTAATTATTAAAACTCTAGTAATCAGAGTAATTTAAGCAACTCTCCAACTAATGAAAGCAAAAGGAATTTTTTTTTGCATACACACTTTTTAGTTACATAAACTAGTTTAACTTCAATCATGAGTTACTCTGCAGAGTTCTCAAAATGCATCATCAGTAATGTGTAGGAGTGATTTCACACTCGTATCGTGTCCCTCAAGTAATCTCATCCCTCCTACATTTAATTTTTTTTTTCTTTTTTAAAACAAAAGACAAAAGCAAATAAGTTTCAGTGTTAACAAGTAAGCACTACCTTGGGAAAAATTACTTTGAAGCTATATTATCCTAACAATATTAAAAGAATATTTGTAACCTTTCATTTAGCTCCTCCCATTTACTTCTTTGACAAAAACCATGTTTATTAATTCAGCACAATTCTCTTTTGTTCCTCAAAAGTTAATAGTTCCAACAAAATGAACAAGATTTTTAAAATGTAACTGTGGTAAAATCATATGCCTTTCTTTTTAACTGTGTCTTTTAAGTAATTTATTCCTTTTGTAAAACTGTAAAATATTAAGAATATGAAAGAAAAAAGTCTGCACTTTTGTAGGCTATAACTTTTCTTTGTATTAATACATGTACATGTGTGTACACACATCTTGTAGATAAGCAATATTATAGAATATTGCTCACCAGTGTATTAACTTAAAAAATTAATTATAATAGGCACTGCTAATGGTAACATAGACTCCTAAAAATCTGTCTAGAAATTAACTGTATGACTGCAAAATGTTACATATTTTGATAGCACTAATTTATGCTACAAAAGAAAGTAAGTTTTCATTAAGGTACAAGTCACCTTGAGTGACTGAGTAATACTTCAATATTTCAACAGCTCTGTAAAGACTGCTACATTTTTAACAAAAGACTAAAACACAAATGCATTCTTAATCCACTGGAGGAAAAGATCAGTTTCAAAGGAAACAATGTATTAGTATTAAAAGCTGAAGGATAACTAAAATGGCCATTAAACTGAAGCAACTCTACAGTTAGTTTATGATAACTAAGAATTCTCTTCATCTATGGGAAGTTACTGATGTGCCTTTTTCACTCTATTCCAATAAAGCAGTATTCACTGGAGTCCTTGCAAGCACATCATCTCAACCCAGACAGGAATAAATGGCTTCAAGAGTAACTCAATAAAACAGCCAACTACAGGGATCATGAAATAAGAACCCAGCAGCCTTCATGTATACTGATGGAAAATAAGACCTCTCTGCTTTCAAATACACACTATAGGTACAAGACAGTAAGTAATGTCTTGCAGAAAAGTGAAGACTTGCAACTTGCTAAAATTATACTGTGACCTTCTACTACAAGTTTCCCAGAAGAAAAAAGATCTCTAGTGACTTTACAGATACAATTTCAAACAATTTCCACTTTAAGACTTTCTTTTTGAAAAAAATGTATTCCCGCTAAAGAATAGTTACCTAAATCCTTAATGTCTTTGCACAGGTATTAATGCAAGACTGAAAGAAAAGGATCACAGCATCACACAAATCCTTTTAGATGGCCTTCCAGTCTAGTTAGGTCTCATTTTGAAAGGACATTGAGAGTTCAGTGAAAATCATCTGGCAGGTAGAACATATGGCCTCTTCATTTGCCAATATGCATAGTGAGTTCAGGAGAAGAAAGATTGACTGGAGTCTGGTTTTATTCTACTAGAACATACTACACATGCTACAAGAATTTTGCTCCTACTGCTGTGGTGCATATGGACAGGTTGAGACAACAAATATTGGAAGTGACAGATTCTTCTGAGAGACTTGCATTACATTCAGCACAATCTAAATAACTATTGAAAGCCCAGCATAACAACAACAAAAAAAAAGGAAAAATACTTAATACAGTGAAAATATGAATATTTAAGTACTTCAGGCAGCTAATAGAGTGCACAAATTCAAGCAGATATCACCAACTTCATTAGTATTTCAACCAATTAAGAGCATACTACTAATAATATTTAATCATAACAAATGGAATTAGAGGAAAATAAAAGAAAAATAGTTTTATTAACAAGAGATTATATATTCCTACTGACTGATACTCAAGAACAAAGATGTTACTCAACATACAATAGTGACAACGGAACAGACCTCACAGAATTAGGCTGGTTTTAACAGCACAGTTTATGTAAATGTCTATTTGCTTAAGGGCCTAAGAAAATATGAGCTTTTTAAAATCTACTTATGAGTTACATACGTATATATATACACACATACATATATACACATGTATATAAATATATATATCTCACTCATATCAGTGATCTTGACAAATAATATTAAGCTTTCCCTATGAGAGGATTCAAGATTCCCCTATATTAAAATTCTAATGCCAACAGACATCAAAAAGCCTGTTTCAAATTGTCCCTCTCCACTCCTTGTCTTGGGGAATCTTAATACACTTCATTAAGAAGTCAAATACAATCTTAAAAGATGAACTGCAAGGGGAAAGGGCTTCTTTCACTTTTCTATCTAAAAAGAGGTGTCATGGTATGCAGCTGTCATGGTTCCATTCCACAAAACAGAAATGGTTGTGGGATTTGAAGATCTTTTCCCAACATTCACAGTGAATGTGCAGGCTACCTACACACACATGCAGCTCTTAAGGTGCCTTCTTATTCTGTAAAGAGAGAGATCATACTTACATATCCTTCTTTATTCTTTTCATTTATTGCCTTGTTTTTTTATTTTTGAAGTTTCATTGTGACTGAGGAAAGGGAAATGGCAGACTTTGACACGCATTTGCGACAATGCCCAAAGACATTTTATGAGATTCACGTTTCTAATAAAGCTTTGTAGCACACAACGTATTTGAATTAAAACCTAGCTAATAATTCACACAGATAATCAGGATCAAAGGGCATTAAGCATGATTTCTCAATGACTCAGTACCAACAACTTTGATTTAATGAGAATTCACAACTTAGTGAAGCAGGATTTCATTAAGCTCAGGTGTATGCAAATCAGCTGGCCTACAACATTAAAGGTTTTAAAAAACCTTCAAGTTTTGCCTACAAATTTGCTAGTTTACAATCATATCCCTATGCCTCTAATGCTTGTAACACATTCAGAGGTGAAAATTTGAACATTTAACATTTTATCACTTTAATGTTCTGTACTTTAGAGATACCCCAGACCACTAGGTAAATTTTGAAGAATGACAAAGCAAAACAAATTATTTCAAGAACTTAAAGTAACATCCTTAAGTTCATTAACTATTTCTTGTTATTGTAAGCTCTCTATCAGGTCATTAGCATTGCAGATGTGTATTTTTAAGTTAATTAAATCTGCTTCATTCCCTAAACGATTTGAATCATCAATTCTTCCTCTTCAGTCTCAATTGGGGAAAAAAAGATAATTATAGAGTCTCTTTGCCTTCTTCTGTTCTTACATTATTCTGGAATGGCTGCAGAATTTCCTCTGCATCATATTTGATCCAGAAGGCTGGAACAAGCTCTTGGGGCCTTCAGCCACACAAACCACCACAAAGTGCTCCATCTCCATCTGGGGCTGTGGGCTCTGAAAACTACATTCCTGCTCATCACAAATGGAGATATGTCAACCAGACACAAGCAAACACCTTCACCTTCTTGGCTCCTAAGCCTGCAGGTTCAGACTGGATCTCCTATATTCTGCACAGCTCAGAACCCGACTTGGACTAAATATAAAAGCAACAGCAATTTGCTGTCATTTCCATTTGATGTGACAGAGGCTTCATTCTTTAGGTATAACCTAAACATTTTTGAATACTGGGGGCTATACATATGTTCTCTCTCAAGTTCAACACAGCAATGATGTCTTATCACTTTGATGACATTCATTAATTTCATTCATACACTGTGTTGCATATTTTAATGAAATTAATACTCTAATACAGCTATGCAGGACTGGGTAAGATAAGCTTGTAAGCAAAAGTGTGCTATTTGAAGATTGTCAGCTTCTTACTAGATTTCCCACAAAACGACAAACAGGGTGTGTCTGCTAGCAAGGAAAGAGAGGAGCAATAAGGTAGTATTCAGGAGAGTTTACAGAAAGTTTGGAAACGGTAAATGAGATCTGTTTACAACTCTTCAGTGAAACAATTTTCTCCCACCACCTGTGTAACTTGCACTTCATATCACTCTATTAAAGGCCACCAAGATGAACATGACCCTATGCTGAGATTACCCTAGAAAGCACTTACAGAAGGAAACATGTGAATGCAGGAGTAACCTTCTTGCATGCTACATCCTAACTGATATGTCAGGCATGGACAACAAGTTACCCACTAAAGTATTTTAGGTTTCCCCTGTCATATTTTTCAGTATTTCTGCAGTACAGTTGACAAGACAGGCAGAACAAGTATTTTCCAAGGACAAGAAATACTAGATGTCATAAGGGGTTTTGATTTGCACCTACCTTTAGGGAAATCTCAGAAATTAGACATGTGAAAGAACTTACATTTTTTTTTATCATCAAGAAGGAAAACAAAGGACTGTTTTCATAATTTACCTACTTTGTTTATAGGTGAATAAAACTATGGAAGACTTAAATACTCCTACTACATTTCCTTATTTCTCATGAAATTTTGATTTCCTCCAGTACACTGTAAATTACAATAAGCAATCTTAATTTCACATAAATACTTAAATCTGCAAAGTTATTCTACTGGAGAGTATGCACCCTTTAACTAGAAAGAGATTTATCTTTATTCAAAGGAAAATTCTTATAAACTCTTTACATGGCTTTTATTTTAATTTATTTTCACTTATTGAAACCTAACATATCTCAACCATTTTTTCATGGCAACATCAGAATGTATTTCAGTATTTTTTTTATTCTGTTACCCAGTATGATCTAAGTGGTGAAGTTTCCACACACAAAGATACCGCTTTCTTATTTAAGAGCCTAATTTTTTAGAAAGAGCACCTCCTAGCTGACCTTGAGGTAACAGGAATTTTTGTGGATGGATCCTGTTGACAGCTTTAATGTTGACATTTAAATAAAAATAAATGTCTGTGAGCAGTATTTACATAGGACACTTAGGTTCAGAGAATTCTGCACTCAGTGACAGAAGAAAAGCTTCTAGAAAAATTCAGTGAATCCAACCAAGGTCCCTACTTTGAACTATATTTTCATTTTAGTTATGCAGGAAGAGCAGGGAAACAAGCCAACTCTGCCTGAAGTTACCTCTTATGAACACTCCCCCATCCCTCTTGTCCATAAACAAACAATAGTATTTGAGGCTAGAAAGTATGCAGCATTGGTATCTATATTTATTTCTAGGACCTGAAATCGTTGTGCGAACCTCTTTCATCAGTGTTACTTATCCTTTCAAGTATTACTTACAGATAGTAAAGAAATGGGACTGTGAAGGATCCCTCTGAGACCCCACTGGACACTTTCCAAAAGTAGATCATTTTACTGTATTCTATTTAATCCTTTATACACTTTTCAATCCAGGTGACAAGGCTGAGAGGCATATAAACACAACAGTTTTCCAATAAGACGGTACAGCACAAAATAGGATCAAGCAGACAGTACCACAACATGTTCATTTGGTCAGCAGAAGTATCAATCTCTTTCCTAACCTGCTCTTTTATGTTTTCACATGCAAGCTAAATTCTGGCTTCCTTCACATTGACACTGGCATCAAGAAAGAGTGAAGTTCATTTTAATAAATAGTAATTGCCAAGAGATGTTTAAAAAATACTTTATAGCATTTGCCCAGCTGCCTTTTGGCAATTACCTAATGCCTCCCGGTAGCCACAAGCGACTGCTGGAGGTTTAAGTATATACAGAAACTCACTAAAGAATTTGCAGTGTGAAATATCCAGATTTGCTGATGGCTATATACAAAAAATATTTTTATTTTATTTAAACAAATTATTAAAATTAAGTTAACATCTTATGATCAGAAGACTAAAAGATGCATGAAGGGACTGAACTTTTCAAATGTGTAAAAAAAAAATCTGTCACTCAATTATATGACTGCATGGAACACATTTCAGTAAGAGTTTTAAACGTGGGAAATAACTATAAATTAGAAGTCTTAAAATTGAGATTACATGTGACAGATACAATAAAAATTAACACTATTTTGTAAGGCACAGTATTACAGAATTAGCTTGTCTTCTACTTTGTGCTTGTAATCCAGATTTTCATATCTTCACATGCACTCATTAATAATAAAAAAATACTTCTACATCACAGTCTAGAAACAAATAAAAAGAGCACACTGGTGTGTAGTAAACCAAGATCATATGCATTGTAAACTACATGGCATTTCTACACTATGGGTCGTTTAAATCCTCTTCAGGTACTGCTCTGGCCAGAACCACTTAGGACTTATCACAGTATGTGATAACTCAGCAACCCTTTTCTCTAAAAAGAGCAGAGTAAGTTATTAATTTCAATGCTGCTGTGGATGAGCAGATTTCACAGCCTGCAGTGTGATTTCCATACTACTGGAATATATACCCGAAGTTCCTCTGCTTTTTAATGATTGCCTTAAAATTAAGAGCTGAAGTAGGAGGTAGCTACATTTATATCTGATGAATCTGATAACTATATATAGGGTTACATTTGACAAAACAAACCACTGTACTAGAAATCATTACTCTCATCTTACCTGGTGCTAACCCAGCAGTAGCAGGACTTCCCATGGAAGGGTGAGAGAACAAGGCTTGAGAGAAGGCAGACATACTTGACTGGGATACATTACTCAGCCTGGAGGTTGATCCTCCTTTAGGAATAAACTCACTTGCAGAAGGATTTGGTGTCTGTTTAAAAAACAATAATAAATTAAATGTTTATTTCAAATGAGAAGGGATTTATCCAGCAGAAAATACATTCTAGACAGGCCTACTAGTTAGTACAGGGGGTATTTTTAAGGCACATACAGCTTGCTGAAGAGAGCAAAGAATACTGGAAGCTGTCTGCATGAACATATTTAGACGTGTTTTTAGCTTATGTTTGAAGTGTTAGAAGCAAACATTCCATATGAGCAGCTGGTCTAAAAATTCATACAACATTTTGCAAAAGGCTTTCCATAAGCATTACATTACAAGTTGGAGAACAGACTTGACACTGAGAAAGCTTTGCCACAGCTGCACAGATTGCTCCCCCATGACTTCAGCAATTTAAGTTCAAACTAACTAGCAATTTCAAAATAAAGGATTAAAAATTATTCCTACTAGAAAAGTCACCCTGCCTCTATTTCAAATAGATCCGTATGTTCAGTTTTTTTGTGAAGGTACCTTCTGCTTTAATTACCTGTTTTATTTATCTAGCACCCTTAAAAATAAAGTCTAATTTGGTGCTATGGAAAAAAAAAAACAGAAGCAGAATGATGGCCAAACATCCAGTATTTGTTAGTACCTAAAACAAACACATGACCCAATTTTAATTTCTATTAAAATCAGTGCAGACAATTTTTGTAGCTTGGGATCGTGGTATTTGTTTTGAGGTAAGATTTTTGTTTGATTTGGGGCAGGGAGGGTTAGAAAAAGAAAATCCCAGTTAAAGCTCAAAAGGCAAAAAGCTTATCATTGGACGGCCAATTACAAATGACAAGAGTGGAACAAAAACTACATTAAGCCAATAAATAAAATAAATTATTACATGAACACACTGAAAATCTTGAAGATTATTGAATTACAGGATTTAGTTTATTAAGTAATCTGCACAGTACCTCTCAAAAGTGTCTAAACAAGTAAGATAAAATAAGAAGACAGCAACAGCTCCCAATAGACATGAGATACTGTTAAGATAATCCATAATGTTTTTTTACAGAAAACTTCTTTGGTTTCAGGCCATTTAAAAATAACCAACTATATAAACCGTTAGCTAAATTATCAATATTGATTTTACCAATATAAAGTGGCATCAGAGAAATAAGTTAGTTCCAAATTAAAAGTGAAGTGTGAACATCAATTTAGACAGTGAAGAAAGTATTTGAGAACAGTTTCTGTTAACTGGGTTTTAACACCTTTATTTTATTATTTCTGCCAAATATCATAGTATGAATGTATTTCAATGCAGCGATAAAGAAGGTTCTCAAAGTTGCAAAATTAAAGATGATGCCCAGATTTAAAAGCAAATAGCAAAAATATTCTACCTTTAATCACACAGTAAATTTTAACCACCATCCACTTTATGATATCAACTATCACCTTGTCACCTTATATGTGCATGTTTCTGAATATGGAAGGAGCAGCTACAAGTAAATATGCAGATTGTGAAGTAAAACATTTAAATGGGTAAAGAGTTCACATGAATTTTAAAACTCTTTAATCACAGTTCAGGAAAACATGTTAAGATATACACTAATACAGCAAAACAAATGATAAGTTGAATTATACAGACTGAAAACACCTAACTGATAGATTTATACTCAAAAGGTAATACTCTGGACTTATCTGAATTTAGGTACAGGAATAACTAAGAATAGTGTTCCTCTAGATAAAAACTGGCATGCAACCATTCAGCAAAATCTGTACTGAAACTGAAGAAATTTACAAAGGTGGTAAAGTACAACTTTTCCAAACAGTGATAGAGCTAAATAGTCACCAAACAAAACAACTGGGAGAGCAAAGGACAGAATTTGCACCATCTTGCTAAAAGAACGTAATTCCAAGGAACAACAAGATCCACATTTTTCCACTGCTAAAAGTAGCAATGACACATCCACAGCTATATCACATCTAAATACTGTGTCAACCAGGAGACAAGGGTGGGGCATGGCATTAGAAGCATGCAAGCAGAGAAAAAGACACCTTCTGGAAGGCAACTCAGACTTCCTAGAGCAACTGAGAGAGTTCCCAAAATCCCACCCATGGCATTCTGGCTAAACTCCTATCATTTTCACCTACTGATTCAAACAACTCCTACAGCACAGAGATGCTTCTTATTTCTAAACACATTCTACAAATTTTCATAGACCAGTTTTCATGTCTAAAAGTTACTTACTTACTAAAATGTTACTTACTTGCAAAAAGATACTTACTTACCAGAAGTTACCTATAAACATCAAAAATTTTAAATACAGCTTCCCTTTAAGAAATAGCTCCACTTTAACTGATAGGTGTTTTAATTTATCCAAGTGAAAGAGTCAAACCCAGGAATCTAATAGGGCTGATCTGGTTTATTTTGTAGAATTGCAAACAGCAATGGGTCAAATCTGAAGGAAATTCAGTTTCACAATTCAGGATGAGCATAAAAGCCTGGTAAGATTAAGTTGTTTTTACATAACTTTGATGAAAATGTAGTATATGAGTAAACAGCTTTGATTTATGAAGACAGACTCTATACTGCGAAATCCTGTTTTACTTCTCTGTGATGCTACAAACATGAAGCTGCAATTCAAGACTTTCCCCAGTGGTAAAAAAAGTGATTTAACTTTTAGTTACAATTTTAAAAGATCCTTCCATCTTCAAGTTGTTTTTTAAATACAGAAAAATACTTAAGTTCCACAGTCACTAGCCAGAATAAACTAATCAAAATAATACAGCAAATTCTAGTGATTGGTGGTTGAAACTAGCAAATACTGTCAGACGATTTGAAGCTTAAGCCCCAATCCACATTTAAATTCATTACATCTATGTGAAGTTGCAGTTCTTAAAAACTATTATGCTTTTGAAAACATTTTATCTGAAGTATTATTTTCTTCTGAAAAGAGTTTTCTTTCATGAAAATAATTAAAATAATCAGGCCAGATTAAGTGAGTAAACTAACTGAGAGAATGTAATATTACTATTAGTACTTTAATATTTAATGTCTTAATTAGTTCTGACTCTTTGTAGATAACCATTTTGCAGCAATGGCCATGCAAATATGCCAAAATTAGAAAACCACATTGTTAGAGGCCAATGATTCAAAGTATTATATTCATGGCCTGAAAAAATATCCTACCTTCACTCTGTCAACTCATAATACAAAGTATAAATTCCAGTTTTAGCTTTACATTTGGATCAATAGTAAGCTTGAAAATCTTTTTAAATGGTAATCATGCTTCAGAACCCGACAGAGTATTCTTACAGTTTTTCCATTAGAGTCCTACCAAACTTCACAAGATGACATAAAAAAATTAAACTTTTATAAGAATTAAAATAATCTAGATCTTCTTAATGAAAACATTTTCTTCATTCTGTATTATGTTTAAATTTTGCACAAGTACAGCTTTTAAACAAATTTCATTTAATTAGTAATTAATTATTCATCTCAGGATAAAGTAACTTATGCTAGATGAGGCTTAAAATTTTAAGAATAAATCAGGAATTGGTAAAATATGTAGAGAAAATGGGTACTGAAAACTGTTATTAATTTTCAAGACTAACCAGAAGAAGGGACATGCAAGAATCATGTAATGATTATGCAATAGCGGGATGTTAAAAAGTAGCAAATGTACTTCTAAACCCAAAACAATTTTAAAAAGCCTACTAGCACTGTCTGCACTGTGTTAAATAAGTCTAATTCCAGCTGCAAATGTTCATATCCCATAAAAAGGCACACACAAAATTTCAAGATGCTAATCATGAAAACATGTTTTCAATAAAAAACATAGAAGAGAAGGAATACAGCTGTGTCAGCTACGTTATGTATTTCTAGCAAACTACCTTTGCTAAAATTGCCATAATTCCCTTTTCCTCTCAACCTTGCCAACTGAAATGTCATCCCTCTTCTTCCAGTATATTAATAAAGATGTTGTCAAACTAAAGCAGTAAAGCAACTTCCCTAATTATTACCTGATTCCTACATCATACATTCTCAGAATGATTCCATGAAGAAATTCCATCTAAATACCCTGTTCTCAGATTCTTTATGTCCATGCCTCTTTGCAGTCAGCTTTGCAAAGAAACTTCCAAAGACAGACCACAAAACTGAGTCCATCCAGCTTCACTTACAAAAACAATTCCTACACTTCTGTATATCAGTGAAAAAAAACTTTATAAAGCACATATAAATACAGTCCAAATGAAGGCTGATTTTAGCCATGATGCAATTACTAAAAAATGGAACCAAAAAAGTACAAAAGGAGGCCAGGACTATTAAACTACTCATTTGTGTCACCAGTCAGCTCAGAATTTGTCTGGTGGCTTTTATGCTTTTACAGGTATTAAAAGGAAATAAAGTGAAAATACAGAATGGAGGGGAAGAAACAAAATATTCTAAGAGTACAATAAGAAAAAAACACTCCAGAACAATTCATCCTTAAAAGAATGTACAGATGAAAGCAAAGAGCAAGCCAAGGATCTAAGCTGAAGACCATCACTGAAAGGACTACACAGCAGCACATGGCATTACTGTAAGGAGCTGCATACAACAGATTTTGGTAATCCAGAAATAAAATCAAAATTCCTGTTTCATCAGCTATAAACTTTGATACACATGATTTGTCTTTATGCTCCTCACTTTTAAACTTGTAAGGGCCCACTGCTGCACTAATTAATAAATGAATCCTCAAAGTGCCTTTAAGTACAGAAATGAGCTGGAATACAGGGATGTACAAGTTATGAAGCCTTTGGAAAGTCATGCAGGGATCCCACAGGAATACTGGAAACCACTGTTCTCTCTCTCATTTCTCATTCAGCATCTCTCAACACAGCTGTACAGCAGCAGCAGAGACACCACATCAGCTTCAGAGGCCAAGCTTCATTAGCTTCGTTCTGGTTCCTCATTCAACCAAAGCCCAAAGCCAGCTACCTAACTCAAAAAGTAGGCCAATCTCATTTGATTTCAGAAGGATGTGCTAATGTACTTACCATGCTAGAAACTGGATACAAGCTTCTTTGTTCTCTTTTTATGCTCTCCTTCACTTCCAAATTTATGCTGATCTGTTCTGACATCCCAAATTACATAATCGTGTAACGGTTACAGAAAACCACCACTAACCCACAACCATGCTATAAAGCAGGGCACTCCTTTACCAGTCCATTTTTGGCACAGTTTTCATAGTATCTCTCAGGAATACAGAAACATGCAGAAGTCTTTCTTGAGCTTAATGTTATTTTGTAGTTGTTGGGATTTGGGGTTTCTTTGTTGTTTTTTTAATGGCGGAGGCTCTATATGAGGATATCCACTTTACAGAACACTGTTGCAATTCCTCCAAGGATTCCTTGAGACCCATGACATCAGGAAAGGATGCATTTTGTGATGTCAGAGCAACTCAGAAGACATGAGAGGTTGCCAAGGACTTCAAAGCAAATCTTTCTATCCCACCATTGAATTTGTGTAACATGCTATATTATTACAAGTACTGTGACAAGTCATCACATCACTCTAACAACAGGCTCTAATAAATTTCAATTTGCCAACATTATTATTTATGTTACTCTACTGCTCTTGCAGAAGAATTAAGAGTCAATCTCATTAAAACTGGGTAAAATTACATGGCTAAAAATATACTGGTTTGTAAACCAGAACACAGGTTCAGACAAAACCGTTCATGAAGTCTTGTTACAACTGGCAAGTAGATCCCACTAAAAAATTAACTTTAAAATTAGATTTGGAATATTTTAATGTTTCTTTAACAAAAATCCTTCAAAGTACTGTAAAAATATCTAGAATTCTAGAGGTCTGTCATCCTAATGCAACATACTTGAAAAAATTAATTTCTATTATTATTTTTTGCTCAAGAAACAAAGAATCAGTTAGTGATGGTGAGTAAGAACTAATCTGCGTAACTAAAATGTATTGATAGTACTGTTTTAAAGAGGAGTACCATTTGCTATTATAATATATATCATGTAGTAGGTCAGGACATTTCCTAATATAAGGTATGATACATCACTATAAAACAAACTTTGATTCGGGTTTTTTTGCTTTTTTAATGCACAACTCAGAGTTCAACTCACTCTGCAGACTTCCTTTTTAATCATGTAAGTGGAACACCATATTTAAACAAAACAGATCAGGATTATGAATTCATAGCCATGCAGGAGTAACAGTTAAATTATTTTACAATGCAAGTTTTAACACCTTTCCTTCTTCAGTCTTGCCAGACTCCACAGTTGCTCTTCAATCCCTCCTGTCTCTCCTCTGATTTTATTTATTATGGCTGGCACATCCTTCTGTTCCTATTTCCACCACATGTGCTTATACATGCTTTGTTAAACCCCACATCTCCATGGGAAGCAATGCAACTGCATCATGTAATGCAAAATGTGAACCCACAGATACTTTAAATCAATTATGTAGCCAGGATTCTGGTGCATTCCAGGAGCCTGGAACAGTACCCTTCAAAAGCTATGTGCTCTGCAGCCAGTCCCAAACACTGCCAACCTCAGAAAGCACAGAGACCTTGAGCTTCCTTCCCTGTGCCACACTTTGAACACTACTTCAGAGTGCACAGGTACTGAGAAGACACCTGCTCCTGGCAACATGCTTCAAGGTTCAGGCCACTGCCTCTCCAGCCTCCAAAAGCATTGAGTCCTTTTGCATCTAATCTAAATGGAGTAGATTAACAACAAAGGTTGTTGCATCACTGTACAGCAAGCAAACAACAGAGGACAGGAGTGCAAACAGGACTTTTTTTTGCCCATTAATGTCTACCTGAAAACTAAAGACCAATTTTCTGCTTCTCTCTTCTCAACACAACTGTCTTTAATTACAACTTACATTCAGTGTTAAATACACACAATAAATTCCGTTTGTCAATCTTTTTTCCCTTCAAAACAGTACTGCTTCACAGGCTTGCTTCACAGGCTTTCACCACTGTCCTTCTACCAATGTTTCCTTTAAGCTTCATCTTTTCTCCATCAGTAACTATGCTGCTTCCCCAGCAGCAAAAGGGCCAAGACAGACTGAAGGTCCCAATGTCCCTAGACAACACAGCATCATGCTGCCTACATCATGCTGCCCATGACTGTTCATTTCAGTAATACAGAGATGTCCAAACATCAAATAATGCAAAACTAGTATCAGTGTGGAAAGGAGCTTGTACAAGCATCGTGTTGACCCTTACATGGCAGAAATTCAGTGAACTGAAAGAAAATCCTGAAGTGCCACAAGTTCTAATTAGAAGTCTATTTACCCACTTCATTCACTTAGAAAACATCAAAAATAACACAACCATCATAGGAAGACTAAAATAACAATCTCTGAGGAATCAAAAGCACTACACAAGTAAAAACAGTATTAGCAGCAGTGGTACAATTCCCACCACTGTAATCATTTCCATCTAAACTCCACTTTAAGGGACAATTCTAGGCTAGAATTATTTGTCATTTTCATCCCAAGGATTACCTACTTCTTCAGTAAAGAGATATTCAAATCCAGCTGTACCACCACCCTCTTACAGAGCTGAAGAAGATTCAGGCATAAAGTTAAGTAATGGTGAGAGTAGCATACATTTCTCAAAACAAGTTGAGAAGTATAAACTATCCCAACATAAAAATTAAGAATTTATATTTCCTGATCATGATGGCAATGTCTTCAAATGCTGTACTGAGGGCATCTATTTGCATTGTGTCAATCATTTTAACAACAATCACTAATTTTACCAGCAAAAATCTTCCTCAGGTGAGAATTAAAAGTTGTGGTTGTTTGCTTTTAGAATACATGAAATTATTACTTTTGCTCCTTCTCCTCAGATTATATGAAAATCAAGTAAAGTATATAGCTCAACAACGGGTGAAGCTAATTAAATATCTCCAAATCACTCTCTTAAAGGACCACTATGTCTATCACATGAAATAAATCTTTGATCTTAACTCATACTTGGAGTAACTCTAACATTTTCCAGAATCGAAAATAAACATCCAAAATACTGAAAAAATTACTAGTAAAAAATAATTTTACCTGTAAATTGTTTTCTGTGACTCTGTTCCACCAAACCATATTGATGGGTACTCCTGTTTTACACCTGTCAGCCAGACAGCCAATAGGGTTCTTTGATTTTCTTGCTTTTGATCCCACCGGAACTATCCTCTCATCCAGCATTCCCAGTCGATACTTCCTGGGCTATGAAAAAGAAGGAGAGAAACCAGGCCACTCCTAACAACCCTCATCTAAAGCTACACTAATATAGGTATTACACTGTGATATGATTCTGGATTGGTGGAATAGGAAACAATTTGCAAGTAAAATTCAACTGAGACTGTTTCCTTTCAATCCTGACTATTTGGTTACAATAAACAATGCTTTAAAAAAATTAAAAGAAAATTAACGTCAGGGACTACTAATTATTTGTAAGCAAAGCCATCCATTACAAGTCAGCCACTGAAATATGCACATAAATTTGGAAATTCTGTCCAAATGAGAAACTATTTTTAAAAAATCCGTGTTTTCAAAACAAATACCTTCAATCACATCATAATAATGAACACCTCCTTTGAAATTTCTACCCAACAAATCTTAAATTCAAATTTGCCATGATTCATCTCCTGAAAATTTGCTTTTGAAAATCAAGTAGAACTGAGTAGCCAATTGCAGTAGAACTCTGAGAAAAACATTTCTGCTTGGGTTAGTACTTAAAAAAAATAACTTCCACTACTGTCTTAAGTGAAAACAGACAAGAATTACTATGACAAAGGCATTGGGAGCTGTCATAAAATTGAGAAAACAAAACACATTTGAGGAAGTTAACATGCAGGAATTACTTGCACCTCATTAACAGTGACATTTCTATTACATTGTCAATGATCTCTACAAATGGAACTATTTACAAAGAATGATATGAACATTAAATTCAAAAGGCACACTGTAAAAAAGAAAATCTGTTAAATACTTTCAAACAGGTAAAATACAGAAGTTGTCAAGATTTCTCCATGCTTTCAAACCTATGTGTATCTACCTAGATAGTAAATATCACCAAAAGAAATGTTTTAACATCAGTGCATATTTAAATCAGGGCCTTTTATGCTAATTATATCAACAGTTGGATCAAATTGCAGGGGTTGGCTGGTATTCTTTTGCTGTGGGGTTTTGTTTGGGCATTTTTATGTGACAGTGTAACTATCATCTGGATACCGATCACTCTAAGAAATCAAAGCTTAACTTACCTTTGTTCAGGTATCTATTTCACCTAGCACCTTAGAAATCTTAGCAACATGTACCTTCATACACACTTTAGAAACTATACCTCAGGCAACAAGACAAGAATCTAACTGGAGAAGATTTCCCACTCACACAGAAACAATTCATAAAACACAGGACAAAACTAGCATAAAATGGCTGCAAAAACAAAACCTGAATAGATTCTCTCCTCTACTTCCCTGGAACCTTTTAGGCTGAAAGCTTTGGAAAGAATCAAAACTCAGCAGAGTCAACAGTACCTAATTTGTCCAAAAATCCCAATTAAACCAACCCCTCCAAAAAACCTGCAAAACCCACAAACAAAACAACAAAACCCCCAAGGATGCCAACATGGACTATGAACTACCAAAGGCAATAAACTCCATGGAGGAGTCAACCAAAGTTAGTAACAATAAAAAAGACAGAATTTTAGCATACCACTTAGAAATCTGTGATGGGTAGCACAAAATCCTCCTGCATTTCAAACACACACCTGATCATGGCAAATCTAAATAATTGTTGTTTATTTGGAGAAACACTCAAGTATTGGGCAACTTATCTCAGTAAATCAGAAAGACTATTAAAATCATAACCTGCAAAGCCATCAGAGCTGAGAAGCTGGACATTCAAGCAAGATTGGACTTTAGGGCAGAGTTTGAATACAGTATGTATTTTTCTTAGGCCAACTATTGGAAACAATATAATGAAGAGTGACAGTTTCCCTGGAAGCTTTCCCCTCTCTCTCCCTCCATGCTCTACCAAGTGCAGGGGCACAGTCTGCCTCAGACTATTGGACTACAAGCCAGTGCCCAAACATACTTCCATTCACAAAGGGTTCTTCTAATCTTCCATAATAACTGGTTGTCTACAAGTATTTTGAAAAGGAAAACCAAAACAAAAGAAGAAATAAGCCTATGTGGAAGAAGGCTATTTTGATCACAACAGGATTCAGATCCCAGACAACAGGATGAAACTGTATTCTAGGCTTTATGAAAGATCATATAGAGACAATAATAGAGACAATAAGAATTCATGTTTCAGTAGTTCTTTACCTACTTGTATTAAAAAACGAAATTAAGCATGGGATGAGTCTTTCCTTTCATTACTTATCATAAAACATTAGGGGATTACTAGGTCAAGATTTCATTATTTAGACAGACATTAGAAGATTGAATAGACAATATTAACATTTGAAAATAAATTTTAGCCTATGTGCACTGAAGTAATTCTAAATAACATTTGTTCTCAATGAGCAAACTTGGATCTGATTTAGAAATGCCACATTAGAAGATTGAATAGACAACATTTGAAAATAAATTTTAGCCTATGTGCACTGAAGTAATTCTAAATAACATTTGTTCTCAATGAGCAAACTTGGATCTGATTTAGAAATGCAATCTGAACTTAAAGGTAATCAGAAAACAGTATCTGCCAAAAGGAGAGATTCAACAGAAGGGAAAGCAAATAGATCGAGAAGTTTCACTAAGTGTATCAACTTTCCTATATCCCTGACCTCTACACAGAGCAGGAAATAAAGCAACACAAACAGTTCACCTTAAAATGAGCAAGAACTCATCAACCACTGATCATTTCTGAACATATATATATAAGTATGTAAATATATCTTCCTAAAACACAGAGGGCATGGCAATCTGGACTAATTAACCAAACTTTTATGCTTGGGGACAGTTACTCTTGGATGTTCACAAAAACAATTGGGGTTTTTTTGCGTTCCCTACAGTCTATGAGGTAAAAAACCTGTTGAGATGTAGTAATTACCGGCTGCAAATGTTTACATGAGGCAGGGAACAGCTAACTTACCTTTAATTGCTAGCAACAGCTTAGTTTTCGCCAGGGTGAGAAGGGCAAGCATTTTCAACCATAGCTAATAATTACAACCCTTGCCCTGCAGAACCAAGCTGCTGCCAGCAATTAATGATAGGATCCTACTGGTTGGCACAATTATTAGGAAAGATAAACCCCAGAAGTCTGAAAAACATCACACTTGAAACAAAAGAGACAATCCAGAAACAAGTCCTTCCTAAGTAGCATCTTCACAAGAGAACACTACTAATGATGATTAACTTCACTAGCCCATGCTAGAAAGTATTCCTCAAGTCAGTTTAATTACTTGGTTCTCATTCATTCAGCAAGAACCTTGGGAATGTGTTCAGCAACTCTATTTTCTTCCTACTATCTGTTGTAACAGTGTCTTTGCCCCAGTTCCTCCTTTTTCAAAGACAGTGGGCAATATCACGTTTCCCTTTTTTAATTCAGGATTAAACTGACCTCTAGTGTAAGATGTTCCATGGCTATCCTAGAAGAATAAATTTAAGCAAGAAAATATCTACAAACATTCAAACTATAAAGACTTTCATGCAGTATTTAAGTCTAGATAAGCTGAAAAATCAAACTACACAACTGCAAAGTTTTCTCCTACTGAAGATCTGCAATTTATTTTTTTAGGATCACTCAGGTCCCAAATTACATTTCTGTTCCTTAAAATGCATTTACCTATAGCAGGCTTTGAATTTTAGATTTACAAGCCCTTTTTAGTACCAAAACATACCTAATTAAGTCTAGCATACAAACATATGAGCAGGCTATGGTGTTTCAAAGTATTGGGAAGACTCTGAGCTGTGGTAATGCTGTCTATATGCTTCTACTATCAAACCAAATAGAAGTCATCTTAAGCCTTCTCCAACACAGGCTAAATGAAGCAGCATTACCTTAAATTACTATAGCTAAAAGGTATCACAGTAGCATTGGCTAGGGCTCATCTGTTATACAGTGAGTTGACTGTATCTGCACATACAAAAAAAATATTACATTCCCACGCAGAAAACTTTTAAAATGCTACACAAACTCACACTTTTCTTGTACTACTTACTGGACTACCAAAATTATGTGAGATACAATTTTAAATTTCAATGCTGACTTCTGAAAGGCTTAATCTTTTTAAATTAATGGCAAAGAGACCATTAGAAAAACAGGTTAAACACTCAGCTGGGCAGCTAGTCTACTGAAAAAGGAGCAATTTCTGTTTTATTATGCCTTTAAAACTAAAACCAAAACAGAAGTTCTAGGAGTAATTATTGCTACTTTCACCCAACAATTGATTAGCTGGAATAATCCAGTACTTGAAACACCAAGACATAGATATGAACTTCAATATGTTATTGAGCCCCTTTACAGGCACAATCAGCTAAGCAGTACCTTAATTGTGAATACAACTCTGTTCCTGTGTATTACTGAATCCAGTTAAGTGTTACACCTGAACATGAGTTATGGTCAACAGGAATATCCTAACAGACTTTTAAGATGGAAATATGAAAAACTGTCTTTTAAGTGAAGTTTAACTGTTTAAGTTTTGTGGCCAATAAAGCTGCAAAACCCCTTTACATGGATTGGGTTAATTACTAACCAAAATACCCTCTAAACTCCCTTTTTTATTACAACTTCCCACTGGCAGACAGGCAGACCACACTTGTGGTTTTTTCTATCTCACCTTCTGAAGGCAGGAATCAATTTTTTTAATATTCATTTAAAAACATTGAATAGGAGCTTGGTCAGTAGCCTAAAAACAATTGTGTGGTTGGCTGTTATTTGTTGTTGGGTGGAGGGTTTTTTCCCTTATGGAAAAAGGACGACTATGCTAACATTTATAATGCTTACAAGTTTGAAGTTCAGAATACTATACATTGATTTTACACGCATTTAGCAGACTAGACACCCTTCCATCCAGATTGCTCATGAAAACCCAGGTTTGGCTGGGGTCAGAATTTTTCTAGTTGAAAAGTATCATACAGAGAGAATAATATGTATTCTTCTACCCCAAGAAAACTTAAGTGTGACATTTGGCATGGAAATGTATCTTATTCTAGAGCAATACATCTGATCATTACAAAAAAGTAATTATTGGTTTAAATAAGTTTTAGAGATGCAATAGATCAGGCACTATATGAGGCATTTTAAACAATAGCTAAGGGAAACTCTTCAGGTGAACATACTAAAAAAGTTTATTTCATGAGTAGATATGCTGAAGGCATTAAAATCCTGAAGAGCTGAGAAGCATCAAAACTGACATAATTAAGTCAAATGTTTTCTCATCAATTTCACAACCTAGCTATGTTGGGATGAAGTATGAATTACCACAACTTTAAATCCTGGAAGGATTTAATTACATAGACAAATTTCTTTCCTAAGAAATTCATATCACCTGTTGAATTGATGTAAACTTGTGGAAAAGCAGCCTTTTTTCTACCACCATTAAAGTAAATGGTTGTAACTACAGTGCAGACTTCTCAGACTACCACCACGCCAAGACGTACTTTCAAGAACTCCACAACTAAATGAACACTACGAGCAAACCACAGATTTTTTAATGTTTAAAGGTTTCTTTTAATAGGACAGAAATTTTTGTGTTACTTACAGGAAGTGGGAAAATCATGCACAGTTACCAAATATATAGGTAAGACTGTTAAAGACTGATGCAGCTTTTACTCTGGTCTTTAACAGGCATGATTTCTCAAAAGTGGTATATTTTCTAGCTGCTTTAAATAGCGCCTTCAACTAATGTGTGCACAAGTTTAAATTTTTTTTTTATTATTATTTTACTGCAAATCACTCTTGAAGACTACATACACCTTGTCATTGCAAGAATCAAACAAAGCTTGTAAATACAAACAAAAGCATCCAGCATATCAGTTACATTTGAAGTTATTTGACTTCAAATATACAAAAGGATGAGGCAGCAAAATGTAAAAGTGTTACATATTTTTAAAGGGAAATAAATGCTTTTATAATTTGACTTATCATAATGATCACTAATTCACACACAAAAAAAGCAAATAATATATTCTCTCATTATACACTTAGAAGTGAAAAATACATATTTATCTAAATAGTAATAACCAAGACAGCAAGAGCACATAACCAAGGAACAATTCCAATGACTAACTATTCCAAGCAATAATGTAATGCAGATTATATTATATCCTTGGAACACATTTTAGACCACGGTACTACCTACAAACATTCAATAGTCTTCTCATAAAGCACAGTGCTTCTGCATTGCTGCAACAACTTTTTTTAGCACCAACTATAATGTTTTATTATTACAGTACAGGTGTACAAATCCCAGAAGGAAAAATTTAGGTTTGAAATATATATATATTTGGTCCAGGTACATTATAGAGTCTGTGCAGCCATAATTCTGTCTCAGAACACAGTGACATGGTGCTTGATTATTACTCCTCAACTCATCAGAACATGATTCATGCTTCTGAGATCATATGCAGGAGGCTCTGAAAGGTGAAAACTGTCTCGACACATTTTCATTACAAGTAAATTCAGCAAGACCAAACATGGCACACACAGCTTTTCTATGAACACCACTGAACTAGATAAATATCAGATATCAGAGGTGTCAAGACAGAGATGGAAACAGGAAGCTGGAGAGAAATACAGCTTCCCAACAGGTAACAAAACTAGATGGGAGGCAGGACACTAAAAAATAAAATAGCAACCATTTAAGTCTTAAGAATTTAATATTTACAGGACCTGAAGCTATCTTTATTGTTTTCTTTTAACTTCAGAGGTCAAACTCTTCTCATACTCATTAAAAAGCTTGCATTTATGCAGACTAGGCTTACAGGTAGTCTTTTGCTTCAAATAATTCTCTATGCACATTTATTTCTGCTGATCAAAGTCAGTTAATTAAGTCTGCTGTCCAGTCTCACTTGCAGTAAATCTCCACAGACAGCACTCAAGAGCTGCACCCTGTTTGGGGTGAACTTCAATTCAGATGATCTCTCTTATACTTTCCTTCTAATATAGAGTTTTTGTCCTTGCCTTTACTCACCTAAAACCAATGGAAGGCATTCTAGAAAAAAAAAATTCTTGAAAATACATAAAAAGCAGCATTAAAATTGTGCTTATAGAGTTCTTCAGTACAGCAACTAGTTCACCCTTGCAGCCTGTGAACTGAAGTTATTCTAACCTTAATGGACCTCCTCTAAATGTGATTAAACAATTAAAAAAATGAAAAGGAAATAAGTCAGTGTTAGCAACTTTGCTTAAGAGTTCAATTTTCATGAGGATTGAAGGTATGAAAAAACAAATTAAAATGTAGAAGTAAATGCTTTTCACTATGCTGTAAGGCTGACCAGTGACAAGTACAGGAACCTTTTAGCCTGGATTGGTGGCAACAGTCTCAGAACAATTCTAAAATATATTTTCATCTTAGTACATTAAGCTGTCATGTCCTTTACAGCAGATTCTGATCAGTTATGTCGCACAAGTTTTTATGAACTGTTTACCAGAAGCACCAAAATGAAAGCAAGAACAGATCACTTCAGATTTAGAGAGGAGCACTTTTCAAGATAATGGCTAAAGTCAACCTGGGAAAAACATCTGGGAAGTTCAAGTTCAGAATGCCATCCTATTTTTAACAAGCATAACATGTATTTGAAGAAAAAAAAATGAAATAAGCATGACATTATTCTTGGGAAAGGGTGTTAGTCTATTACTAACTCTAGCTTTTGTTCCATGCTTCACAAATCCTATTTGTGCATTGTAGATTAATACTTACCTAAAAATCTCTTATAGGAAATTCACTTTAAGGTTGCTTGTCTTACTGCATGTGGAGTTACAATAACCGGACAGTAAATCCAGAAGGTTTTACAGTTGACAGAACCTCCACCAAGGCTCCATCTACAGAAATACTTAGCTCCTTTGATTTCATTTTAAGTATCCTATAAAAATGTCTTTAAACAGTAATCTTAGCTTTCCTGAAATCTAAAATTGAAATGCAGTTTAATAATTTCTAAATAGAGATAATTATCTCAAGAATGTTCATAAAAATTCAAGACTATGTTTACTTTTTGAACAGAAAGTAGCATGGCTCTAAACATCAAATAATCAAAAGCAAATTAAATAGCTCAGTCATACTAACTAGCTTCAAAAATACTGTCTAATTAAAAAGTAAGGATATTCAGAATTACAATCAAATTATGTTTAGTATTTTATTGATCTCAAATATTTCTCTATATGGCTTGCCCATTATTAAAGGGCTGCCAGCATAACATGATCAGCAATATCCAGAGACAATCAATAAACGTGCTTCACAGAACTACATAGTACATGCTTTTACAGAAACTATTCAGTTTTACATAACACAAACATGCAGTTTTTACATAGTTCCAAATAACTTAATACTTCAAAATATTACAAAATAGAATTGTGATATTTTTAAAGGAAAGCAATTGTTCTTTATTCACTTACCAAGACTGTATTATATCTGTCCTCCAAGTCAGTGATAAACGAAGGAAATGCTGGTTTTGCCAGCTAGTTCAGAACAAACAAAACCTTAGACTTGGGCTCTCAAGATAATGGAGACTATTTCAAACAGCAGATGTTGCAAACACGTACACTTGAACTAGTCACCAAGGCTCCCTTCATACAGCAGGCACCAAGCACTGGTTTAATAAACCCCATTGTTTAAGCTCTAAAAAAACTCCAGTTAATGGGGTAGAGGGGAATCACACAAGGATTTAAATACCTGGCTCTCAAGCCTTTAGTGCTTTTAAGGAAATCACTTCAGACAATTTGGATATTGTAAAAAAAATACTAAAAATATTTAAAAACTACATAATAACTATTTGCAATATATTGTCTGGCAGCAAAAGTCAGTCACAAAACTTATTAATTTCTCATAACTTTAGCCATCAATTTTTATCCACTTAAAGCAATCACCAACATCTGGTCATTCACAAAGTATTTTTCTCAGAGAGAGCTAAATGTTTCTTTAAACTACTCATCTCCCTGTGCTGACTATAGAGGGAGCCTGGATGCCTAGATTTATACAGCTCAAGTACTATTTTATCAAAACTTCCCCATTACTAGTATTTAACAACTTTTAATACAAGCATATGTTACAAAACAACAGTCACAACAAAAACCAAATTAATATGCAAAGAAAAATACAAACCCCTTTCAATTAATGCCAGTTATAGCTGTAATGCTAACTAGAATAAAAAAACAAATTAATCAATTTTAGAGCTAAAACTTACTCTATTTTAGCAGCCAGTGCCTTAATTTGCTTCTTTTTCTTGAGGAAAGAATGCATTAAGTCAGTAAGCACTCTGAAATACTATTTGAGCTTTGAGGTATTTGTGCTTTACAAGCAAATATTAATTGGTTTGTTTTCACTTTGTACTGCTTAACTTTGAAGTATTTTTAAAGACAGTGGTCATTCTTGCAATACTTCTATTTGACAGCTTATTTTCTTTGGTGCATATGGTTCATACACAAGCACAACTTTACACCCAGGTATATACAGACATATGTGTACATATTGGCTCTCAATGCCTGTGTTAAGGAGGAATGTACAATTATTTTTCATTTTTACCAGCCTTAGCAAGTGGATAAGCAACACATTTATAGTTCATTACATCCGACTTTCAGCGCACTGTACTGGCATTAAGGAAAAGAGCAATGCAGATACTCTATGTAGTTTGGATACATCATAATATTAGAAAATTAGCGATCAAAACCAGCATTTATAATTAAAAAATAGTGTGATGGACCAACTATAGCAATTATCTTTATGCTCAATCTTCACCTGCAGGAATAATACAGAACATGCGAATGTAGCTTGCTTTCATTATTTACTACAGGAAAGCTCAGGATAACGTGGCTAATAAGTAGTAGAACATGAACATCATCAGTGAAAATAAAACTTAATAATTGGCTGGGATAAGATAATATCTGGTTTTGGTAAGTGACAGTTCATGAAAATGAGACAAAACTCACATAATCAAATTTTTGTCTCTTATTTCAGCCACTGAGTGTCTAACTGAAAAACACCACAATTTGCACAGCTGCAGGTCAAAGATGTTTGAAGATGCTGTCTAGCCCTCAGCAAAAGGAAGATTTCTCAATACAAATGAGAGGGATGGAAAAAAAGCCCCAAACCCTCACTTCCCAATGTTAACAGTGTCTTTTAACCTAAATGCATTTCAAACAGCAATATAATTATTATCATTATTATCGCATAACATACAAATAAATGGGAGAACTGATTCTTAACATATTCTGAACTTGCTCCCCTAAAGGCTTGCAGGGAATATGTCCCTTACTAGAATAAAAATAGTTTGTTTTCAAATTCAATGGGCTACATACTACATAATGGGCAAGTTTCATATTCTATAAACTTCAGTTTACAAGTGCCTGGAGTATTTCTTAGTAGCAGCAGCAGTCTGATCTGATGTAGCAAAAATGAAGTAGTAAGATATTATTTATATCAGCAGCAACACATTAAAATAAATCTAGTAGCATCAGAAGAATTAACCTTATTTTATGCAGCATTTCAAGTTATTCCAGATCTTCTTCCCTGTCAACTCATACATAAATATGCTACTTATGATTTAGTTGTTGCCTACCTTCCTCCTTTGAGACACGCTGAGGGCAGCAAAGTCATTAAACAGGGATGAATTTGGTGAAGTTAGTGGATCTATAAAACCAACGTAAAACCAAGGTGTTACATATATATATACACTACTAAAACGAATTTAATATTTTTGAACTTATTTCTGTATGGAAAAAATCCTCTTGACAAAGCTAAGTTTAGCAATCACACTGCTAAAACTCTCAGCCTTTATTAGATTCTGTGCAACTGCTTAATTGAAATGGTGCTCATTAACAGAATTCAGTATGTTTAATTGATGTTGACACTATTTAAAGGCCACCTAACATTTCACAGGCTTCATCTGATCAGAAAACCTGTTCTAAGTGCTCCTTACATTTGCATGTCATTGTTAACCCTGTAGATGATACATTACAATGTTTCCAATTCACCAGAAGATCCTCTGGAAGGCTTGACAAGCATTGGAACAGGTTGCCCAGGGCAAGTGCATGAGTCACCATCCCTAGGGGCATTGTGTAAATGTAGCAGAGAAAAAGCTTTGGCAGTGCACTTGGCAGCGCTGGGACAAGTTGGACTGGATCTTAAAGTCTTTTCCAGCATAAAAGATCCTATAATTCTATGATCTCCAGTTACCTCAAATTATCAATCTTCTGTTTAACAGGTCTTACAAATAATGATGTGCATTTTGCTCGTCCTGTCACTGTTCTACACATCAAATTTAAATCAGAATCAAGGACAGGAGAAGTCAACATTCTATTAATAACTTTTTATTGTTTTTTCTTTGTTCCTATTCCTCTTTTCCAGAGTTGAAGTATCAAAAACTGTAACATTCACAGATGCAACTTAAAACTCCAAACTACATGGCTAAAACTGTCAAATTAGCAGATGACTGCCATCTGTAAACATTGGTGTTTTGATGAAACACTTTCTTCAACATTAAATTCTTACAGAGAATTTATCTTATATTTGTTCAACAATAAATATTCCCTGAAAGAGCAATTCCACAAATGAAGTACTGGTTGGCAGAGCCAGGGAGAGAGAGGGAGAAGGATCTGAGACATGACAAAATTTAAAATGGTTCTAAAAGTTGGTGTGGTTTCTCTCCTTGACATGCATCACCATTACTATTTGGCCTGTCACAGTCAAACTCTGACTGTATTTAGAACTGGAGACCTCCACTGCCTTGAATGGCTAATTGTTCAGTGGGACAAAAGAAGCAGAGTTAATCTCAAAGCCTACTGGAAATAAACTAGGAAGAAAAAACAAGAAAATACCTGCAAATTTTGACTTTCAAGCAGGCTCATTTTATTGTAGTTACTACCATGCTTAAAAAATTATAATCCTAGTAAGTAGACTAGCTACAGGGTCAGACATGCAAATGGAGTTCTAGCATAATTTACACAGCAATTTTCAAAGCAGAAATTTATTTTAAATGTATGTCCTTGCCATAAGGGAGCAGTACCCTCTTCTTTAAAGAACTTAAATTAACAGCTACAGCTGAAATAATCTGTAGTAATTCTGAAGAGAACATTACAAAGCTCAATACAGCCTCCACAACAATTTAGTGAGCACATAGGCCTCCACTATCTAGACATTTTCTTCAGCTGAAAACCATGTATATAAAACATGTTCCTATAGCAAGGAAAAATATTGTAAGAGGCAAAGTACTGCCTGCAAGACAAAACTGAATAGCTATTAAAAATCAGCAGTAATGTGACATTTCACAAAATCCACACTCCCTGAGTTTAACAGAAAACACCTGTACACTAATCCCACACATTAACTTATCCAAGAAGCATCATAAAAAGGGATACTATTGTGAAGCAACATAAATGCTAAGGCTATCAGTGCATTGCAGTGGATATCCAAACTAACATTTCACTTGAAGTGACAAGACTGATAATGACTAAGTTTTTCCCCCACAGCAAAGAGAAGGCTAAAAATTTACGAGTTCATTACACTACTGTTAAAAAATAAAGTTGTGCTGTTTCAAAATCCAAGAACAAATAACATTCCCTTAAGCCTCAGTTTTGTGAATCTCCCAAATTTTCCAATATGCTTTTATATGTATTACTTTAAAGATACTTACCATGGCCTGCATACTGCTTGGCACTGTCATTGAGAAGGCTAGGGGAGCTGCTGCTATTTGTCATCCTCTGTAAAAATAAAAGATGAAAGTGTACATGTAAAATAAACCCTTAACAGATTAAGTGAGGGCATTGGGGATGACCTTTAGAAAGTTTTAAAGACAGCCTATGAAACTTGTGTTCATTCCCTATTTTGTAAATACACTAAGCAAACAGACTTGTAATTGACAAAAACATTTAGTAAAATAAAGGATTTTGGACAACAGAAATGCAAACCAAAAATTACTGTATGTTCAAATTAAACTCTACCTTCATTAATTTCTTCTAAATGAGGAGGGTCTACCAAGCCTATGGCTCTCTTCCTGCATGTTGTGAAAACATTAGATAAGACAATTACTTATCACCTTAAAACAGTCTTTCATACTGCACTCCTGAAACAACTACTCCCTTTAATATACTATCACCACAACATGAAACTTCTCCAATGAAATATACTTAAGTACTTTATGGACTCTTTTTTTAAAACAAAAGAACCTTTTGAGACCTTTCAGCAAAACACCCAGATTCCTCCAAGTCAGCAGGACATCTGAAACCCTTTTAACACTGCTCCTAGGCTCCACTCACTTCTCCTACATTCCTCTAGAGGTATCAGCTAGCAACAAACTGACTCAAGTGAAGCAGTGCTGCACTAAGAGCTACTGCTTCTTTCATAGAAAAGTTTTAAGCAGGAGTAAGAAGACACACTTTATTATTTTCTTTCACCAGCTTCCCAACAGGAAGAAAAAGTGTGAGAAGAAAAGGAAGGCAAGGTCAGGAAGTGTTCTTCCTCACTGAGAGACAACCACTAATTTGTTAAAATACTCCCTGGCATGCTTTTGGCCCACACCAACCCAGAGTCTCCCAGCCAATTTCCAGGCACTATTCAGCAGTGAAAAGGTTTGAGAACCCTTCAAATGGACGGTTTGCATGCAGACTCTGCTTTAGTGGGTGAGCACACACCAGCACAAACAGGCCCTTTTGTGCCAGCTGGCCTTAAGCATCAAGGAAGGTTTCCAGGCATGTTTCATTTAGTAGTCTAGACACAGACTGACTCAGAACTGGTCACTGGAGTTGCTCTTTGCAGTTATTTTTCTCCACAGCCAGTCTCAATGTTGGTGGCAAAGGGCAGGAAGCTTTCTATGTTATACTTCACTGCCATTTCATCTGTTGACCACAAAGATCAACATTCTGGAGTGATTTTGGAAAGAACGGAGGACAACCAATAGAAGTGGGAGTGCTATCCAATATGGTATAACTGTAAACCTACTGCAATTCAAGACTCCCATCACTTGCAATTTTCAGAGCATCACAAACATCACCAGGAGCTGCTGCTTTTAAAACCTGTACCTAAAAGAATAGATGGTGTAAAGTAGTTTTTATGTGGAATGCTTACAACATGTAAATAGCACATAAACCTTCAACTTTTTCAAGACTTCAAGCAAGCCGTTTGCTATGTGCTCTTTCCTTATTTTGATGTCACCTGTCTCTTTCTCCTTAATATACTGACCTGACACAACATAAATATCACTAACTGCTTAAGTGATAAACAATTCTATACACAAAAAGCATGGGTCTAGTGAAACAAAGGTGACTTATTTTTACAAAACAAGGTACCGCTTTGAGAGACACACACTAAATTGACAAACTTTGCCCAAATTCAAGGACGCTCATCCAATTGCTCACAATCATCAAAATAAGAATAAAAATATAGCAAAATCATTTTTGGATTATCGTAGCTCAAGTAATCATACATCATACTCCCTTCCTAAGCAATGGAAAGAAATTGAATAGTTTGTCATAAATATTTTAAAAGCATCCTGGTTATGCATGGTTTTTTTGGCATTTGAGACATCCACACCAATCCTCATAAAACAAAGGGGTTTAAGAAGAAATTTCCTAAAAGGAACCTTTCAGATTTGCACAAGATTTGTGCTGGTGTAGATAAAAATAGTATTAATGTCCACTTATAATACCATATTTAATAATAATTTTAATGCAAAAGGTAATGCTAATTTGAAACAGGAATAAATATGATAATGAAAACTGTGTTGGTATCAAAGGTGGTTTTAAACACATAGGTTAAACATGGAACAAAGTACTTCTATTCCATCAATATTCATCATCCTAAGGCACAAGAGTTAAATATTCAACCAACAGACTTTCAATGGGAACAGGAGCTTGAGATGATGAAAACCAGTGCTGACACAATCACTGAGAACATACAGTGCACGCAAGGCAGACTGCAACAGAGCATATTGTTCTGCATTCTGAAAGCACAGTGCAACCCAAATCTGTGAGCATCAACTGTGCTTTTACAAAGTCAAGTTCCCATTCAAGGTGCAAGCATATCTTACACACACCAGGATTCCAAAAAACTAAAGCTTGGGCAGCCTTGCCTTAACAACTGCTTGTAACCTGCGCCTGGAATAGTGAGAAACCTCCACCACATCCATGAATTTTTCATTTTGCTCACTTTCACTACACATGCACAAGCTTCTTACCTTAACATTATTCATAAAATACCTGCATGTAATCAGTACAGGCTTTTTAAACTGCTTTGATATTAAGACTTCTGCCACCACCCAAATGCATTTAGTCTTAATGAAGGCTACTCCTGTATCTGATTTTTACCAAAAAGGTCTTGAAAGAAAAAAAAAAATTAGAAGAACACACAAGTGCTGTTTGTTATTTGTGTTTTCGGGAAAGCAGCTTTGATTTTAAACAACACTTATCAACCTCTTCTAATGACGTTCAACTATTTTTCATACAAACTCAATTGAAGATTGTAAGCACCTCAAGCCCAAAGGATAAAAGCTCCAGGAAGGCAAAAGCAACCATTAGCAAGGAAGAAAATTAAACATTAAGCCTGACAGAGAAGGCAAGCACACACCTATGAGAACTTCAGACTGTTTTACTACATCAGGGCTTTTAACGTATGGAAATTAATATAGAAAGACAACTTTCTGATAACCAAGTAGAACACTCAGTTCCACAAACTTCTTTTCTCTGCCTGCCTATTGGTATGATTTGCTGAGGTTCTTTAAACAGTACTCAAAATTCAACTAGGATGGCTGGCGTATGTCCTGCCCCTCTCCCTTTAAAGGAATTTAAAAGTTATTTCTGTTTTAGCTTTTCCTCACAGGAGGGATGCTCCAGTACCCTCATCCTCTTTGTGACCCTTCACTGGACTCTCTTCGCTGTATCCCTGTCTCTAATGTACTGAGAAGCCCAGCACTCCAGGTGTGACTTCACCACTGCTGGACAGAAGGGCAGGATCCCCACCCCTGACCTTTTAGCAATGTTTTACTTTAGGCAGTACACTTCCTCCATGCAGTATTCTAAGAAAAGAAGTGTTATAACAAACATTCCCACCTTCTAAAAGGAACACACCGCCTTGCCTCCACCCTTCAATACTCAGTAACAAACACCAAAATTATAGCTGTACTTAAGGCAAGTTTGCCTTACTTTCATCTCAAGTGTATATTACAAAGTTCTCATCAAGATAAAGCATGAATAAAACTTTGATGCAGACAATTGGATCTAGTTTCACATAGCTTATAAGACTTAAGTGACTGATTTTCTTATCTCCACCATTTCTTTTCTTGAAAATACGTAAGAGATTGTATAAATTAGAATTTATTCCTCTTTTTCTCTATATTCCATGCCCTAACCCTGAGAAAGTAAGGATTTTCCTAATGGTCATTCCACAAGTGCTAAGCATACTATCTCAGAATATTTTGCAGTATGTCAGAATCTAGTCTCTTCATCTTTCCACTGCTTTACTAGAACTGTATTTCAGAATATTTTTTTATAATTTTCAGAATAATGTTGACTGGAGTACAAACAGTCATTCTGCAAAAGATTAAGATTGATTTGTTTGGCTGTGACGTTGTCAGACTCTGTGACCTACACAGGCTGATATCTTTTGCTTTTCTTTTTAAACAATCCAAAACCTGTCTTTGACAGCACATGTGGCACCACCTACAGAATGACCCGCTCAACTGCTGAAACTAAAGCAACGGGATTTCTTCAGAAAGCATCATGAAAACAACAGCATAATTTTATCTTTAAAACAGCACATCTGTAGTTCCACTCAGCTCTCAACAGTTAAAAACTGAAGACATTTACAAGCTTCTGTGCTATAAGGAGAGTTTCATTACACAACTGTTGGCAGATGCTGCAATGGCAACAAAAGTCTGTGTTTATTCAGCTGCAAGGCTTTGAAGTGAGCATGGTCACTATTTCTCAGGCTATCCAAGAATGCTTAGTACACCAACATTTGCACGGTGAAAGCAAGCAAAAACAATTTTTCTCCACTGCTTAGCCTTGCCAATTTTGATGCTGAAGACTGTTACTCCCTTCCTATTTCAACTAGGATGGTTTACTGAGAACTTAAGAGTCTTTCTTTCTATGTAACATGCAGTCAGTCCAATGAAATCCATGTAGTTGTAAATCTCATCCCATCAAAACAAAGAAAACCAGATTCCTGCGAAGCAACATGGATGAAGGCACCTTCTACTGTTTTATGCTCTTACAACCAAGCTGCTCAGTTCTAACACAACGTTAGAAGTTTTAACATCAAGATACTTCTCCGCCTCATCCTGCTATAATACCCTTTGAACAACCCAACATAATATTATTAAAGCTTCTTTCCACACTACCTGCATCTTCAGTTAAGTTGGTCAAAGGGCAGCACTAATGCCAGAGGAACAGTGACACCAGCCAACCAAATGGCACACACTGAGCAAACAGCCAAGCATTAGAGGCATCCCAGCTAGCCAGCTCCTGCCTCTTCACTGCTGGGAAAGCCAAAAGCAGTGAGCTGCTTTTTGAACCACACCTCTGACTGTCTCTTGGCAGCTGCTGCTATGCCAAAAAGAAAAAAAACAGCTTCGAGGACAGCATGAAGCCTGTGGACCATGTGTTGCACAGGCTTGCTCTGCAGTCAGTATTACTTAGAGAAGCAGAAAACAGAAAAAAGTGCTTTGATAAGATGGAAAACAAAACTGTTAATACAGTATATGAAAGCATATGCAGATTGAGGGAAGAAGAGACACATGAAACACTCTTATGGAAAAACACAAACCAATGAGGGCAGAAGACTACTAGTCAATAGAAAACTAAGTTAGTAACAACAGAAGCTGATGGGGGCAATGAAATGCTGGCCGACAGCAAAGACCTTTGAAGTAAGAGTGGAAGGACAAGGAAAGAGGTATTTTTCAGAAAGGAAGAAAAAGGAAGAATTACAACCACTTCAAAAATCCTGCCTCTTCTGAGCTGTACCACGTACTTTTACTCTGTTTTCCCCACTGCAAAGTGAGTATTGCCATTAACTCCATCTTCATCACTAATGTAAGCCCCAAGATATATTCAAGATCTTGTGAGATGTTCTTCCACAGATATAAATGAAATCTGCAAGTGAGAAATAGCTATTCTACAGAAATGTTGACAACTATTCAGCTACATTATTCTACATTATTTATGGTCAAAGCAGCACATCCATTCCAAATTAATCATGATATAATCCACTTTCCACCCTTTTGCTGCTTACTTAACACTGATTCTTAGAGATAAGGCACTGCACACAGAAATGTGGTAATTGCAAACTTTGATAAAGCTTTGCTTGATGCAGTCTGATTCCATTATATATGCATTATGGTAACCCAAACATATACAACCACATATTCTTTTCAACAAACCTGTTTTATGTGCTGCACATGCCAAACACATTCTGGAGATTAGATAGGAATAGTCAAGACAACTCATCAATTAAATACCTGACAATTACATTAAGAGGTACGTAGTGAATAAAACAAGGACAGCAGAAAGACTATTTCATTGTAACAGAAATGAGCAATACTCTGAAGAGACTGACTTTTTTACTATCCTTGCTGGAGTGAGGCCAGTTAAGCAACTTGACCCAAGTATTTTACTGGTGGTCATTAATTCCATTCTTGACCTTCCAGCTGTAAAGATTAGTTTCAAAAAATCAGGTCTCTTGTTTGCCAGCACTGTTGCAGTATTGTTTGCTTAATTGCCATCCTTTTCTATCCCATGCATCCATAAAATGTAGACCACTTTTCTGTTTCGTACAGAAAGCATTGCATGAAGTCTGATGGAATAATTGTAATGGCACCCAAAAGTGCACTGCCAACTAAGACTCTTCACAAGGATGCAAACAGAATATAGGAATAAAGCACAGAACCATATGATGAACATTTAATCAAATATCAAACGGATGCTCAATGCACATGAATGTGCCACACATCTTGTGCTCTGAGTAAATCCCACTAATAGTTTTCCCACTGAAAAAAAAATACACAACATTATGAGAAATACAACTCTTAAATGGATGCTCAACACACATGAATGTGCCACACATCTTGTGAGTAAATCCCACTAATAGTTTTCCCACTGAAAAAAAAATACACAACATTATGAGAAATACAACTCTTAAATATAACCTCAAGGCTGCACTGGCAACCTAAACTTAGCATTTCCTAACACATTGCCTCATCTTACTAATGTTTTTCTATCAGTGTATTTATCTGCATGTTTGTGCAATTTTCCAGTTTTAAAAACCTAGCAGAAGAGCATGCCTCATTGCATCACTGATGCATTTATTTGTGAACTACACAGATTCACCAGAGATGACAAAACAATTCAGATGGAACCAATGTTTCCATCTGCAAAAGCAAAACTGAACATTAATGAAATGTTTTACAGAGGACATCTGATGTTTCATTGATGGCAGAACACTGAAGTTTTAGCATCATTACTTTGATTTGAGAACCTGGAGAGAAATAGGAACATGGATTTGTTCTCTCCACCCTACTTTGTCCCACCTTTACATTATGAAAACTTGTTTTCAGTTTCTGTATATTGCATTTGTACCATTTCAGTCCCCATTCTGTGAGTGCCCCACCAAGATCTCCTCTCTGCTTCAGTCCCTTTGCTCAATCTTTCCTGGTTTCTTCTTTACTTATCTTCAGCTCAGCTTCTCTAAGCCCACAGCATAAGTTTATTTTCCCTTACCAACCCCTCTGCTCTAATTAACACAGATACAGCTCTTTCATTAAATATAGATCCACTCCCATGCTGCTTCAGTCTGAAGTGGAAGGAAAGAGGGAAATTAAGCTGATCAGCGTTCCTGCTCTGAGTTCAGTCAAGGCCTAGATTATGCCGGAGCTGCAACTGCAAAAATGTACTCAAGCTAGAACACGCCAGTGCAGATTATATCTTTGGGAAATTATTTAACATCTAGGAAGTCTCCAGTGGGTCCACATAAACCAGTTCTGCAAAGGTTTAATCAATTGACAAAATCTGTGCAAATTTTCAGAGAAAGCAAGCAAGAGGTATATCCTTGACACAATAACCAATCTACCAGATTCAAAGTCTCTATTCCAAATCACAAAGGACTAGTATTGTTTAAAGTCAAACCCACTAAAATATCTCCATTGCCCTGTTCTCCACAGGGCTGAATGACACAGAAAATCTCATTCCACGTGGCTAAACTTTATTAGTATGTACTTAACCTAGAAGCTGTCACACAATCAAAACGGACAGCACTACCTATGTAAACATGAACTTAAATTGCAGGATTCAAAGGAAAAAAATCAATACAGGAATGCTTTTCAAACTGTAGCTTGATGCCTGTAAGCACATTCTCAACACTAATAAAATCCTACTTCCAAAGTAATTTTCCTTGTCCTCCAATGGGCTAGAGGCACACTGATTTCTTTTCAAAGAGAAACAATAATGCCTTGACTGTAATCTCAGGCATTAGTAAAGTATTTAAAAATCCCATGAGCATTCATGTTAGATGCATGCCTTATTGTCTGTCTTTCTAGAAGATACAGTTATAATTAAAAACTGGCATTTAGAAAGACACTAGTGTTTCTGTAGAATACAGTTTACAGATACAAAACATAACTTTGTGTTAAAATTATAGGACCTCAGTTATACAAAAATTTGTAACTGCCAGCTTCAATAGTACACTTTGGAATCACAGGTTAAAATTGTTCTTTTTAAATCATGCATAACTGCCAAGAAAACAATTCCATACTTCTGCAATTCTGTCGAATAAGAAAATCCAGCTTCCTTGAAAACATGCAGTAAAAAAAACCAAACAACCAAACAAACGAAAAAAAAAAGGAACACACCTAATTAATTCCCACCTTTTGCTGAGTTATTTTTCAATCCATTATACAGCCACAACTGAGATCAAAGTAACCTCACAAGGAGAGTTTCCTCGATATAAAAGAAGAGAGTTGTTGTCAGGACTCAGTGTGAACTGTTTGACTCGCACTCTCTCATTCACCAGAAGTTGCTTTGTTTACTACAGGACAGACCATCTTCTTTCAGGGACTGTACTTCTTTTAAAATGCATAATACTTTGAGGGCGTTATTGTAATACTTCATGTGTTAATTCAGCAGATACTCATTTAGGTTTTAAATATGACAGACTTTTGTTGCAAATTTTCCATAATACTACCTACACAATAAATTCCACCTCATGGGAGTTCCTATGCCAACCTCTACAGAACACTATAAATACAAGAAAACATTTCAGAAGATTTAAATATGAATCCAGCATACCACCACCAGAGTCTGAGTTGACAAATTCTTAAATTTTTGCCTAGTAATTTCAGGTCTGACAGTTCACATTTTCCTTCCGTGACTTTGGATCTTTGAAAAGTTCCAAAACCTGAATTTCAGATTTTTAGCAAAAGGCTATCAAAAGCTATGAGCCTAAAAAGAAATCTAGAAAGGTTTATTTTCTGAATATGGCTAACACAGAATTAATGTATGCAGGACAGCTCAACACAACAGCTCAGGTAAGTGCAAATAAAAACAGATTAATTTTAAAGCAATTTAAATTTTTACTGCTTCATTTCCATTTGCAAAATTAAAGTGAGTTTATACTCTGCATATCACACAAGATGACACATTCCACAAGGCTCCATTTGTCCTGCCTCTTGAGCAGTTTTCCCTTTTTGGTGTAACACCAGCCGGAACTAATGAAACATTACCCAAATCACTGCTATTACCTGCATCATGGGATACTTCGTTTCAGCAGGACTTCCAAATCCATTAACGCCAATGAAGCTGGTGCTAAAGTACGAATCCGTTAGATTAGCATCAGCTAACCCACCACCATCCATTCCGGGAACTGAAAGGAAAAGAGAAAAAAAATAATGCTTCAGTAATGTTTCCTTAGCCATGGGTTTATTCAGTAGTATCTATTATATGTATAGATTTTTTTTTTCCCCACAGAGAAATAGAATATGGTACTACTGTCTTCTCAGCAAAACAACCAAAAATGAAATAGTGCATACCATGAAAAAGGAAGTTCATGAGAGAAGTTACTAAATGAGAGCATTTGTAGCATGAAGTTACAGCACAAATACAGAAAAGCAATGAACTTCAGAAACAAGAATAACGAGGACAATAATGACATCAAAAAGAAAATAAATCAATTTAAAAACCTAGAAGACAAGCTTATTTTATGAAGACCCATATTCTTGCATGCTCTTCTTGGAAATGTATGTGTTAAGTAAAGTTTTGAACTGGATGCACTGGTTCTTTTAGCAGGCAACATACGGAAAACACATACTTAAAAATATCTCAAACTCTTTCATAGAAAGCACAAACACTTTAAATGCCTCCTTAAGAGCTTAAGACAATTTTCATAATCTCATTCTTTGTAAAGTGGCAACAATTTCCTGAAATGTAGCCCAAAAATCCTTTAGATTGAAAGCAAGTGTGAAGGATGCAAGAAGAAATTCATCCCGTCTAGAAACAATGGCCCAACATACAAGACTTTAACCACATAAAAAGTAATTCAATACTAAAAAATTACAAAGAACAACAAGAAGCTGTCATAATTAACACAAAACTCTCAAGCAGGTATTACTTCAACAGGAAAAAAAAAAAAGCATTTACAATGGTATGCAAGCTGCAGTTCAAATGAACCTTCTGCAAAAGCACCCACAGTAAATTATAAAGACACTCATCACTATGGCCAGGCCACTGCAAGCCAACAGGCATGAGTAATGGGTAACTTCAAGGTAGGAAGGCACACATCCAACTCAGAGGAACATCCTGTACCAAACTATCCAACTTGAACTTCTGGGAGGACTCGCAGCCAGGTGGTGACACCCGGAAACAACTGCCTGATCCTAATCCTCAAAGGAAACAAAATGCAACTTAGTGGCACAGCTAAAGGAATGCATACTATAAAGCCTCCATTTTCAACAGAACAGGAATTTTTCCTCCAAAACAGACTGCATAAGCTGGTGAGCCATTTCCATGTGCTAGGCACAGGAAGCAGCAAAAGAAGTACAGTCATACGTAACCACAGGAAGGGCTGGAAGAGAATGATGAGTAGCACGCACACCACAGACAGAAGGAAACACTGTCCAGCTGCACTCCCCTGGGACTGGAGTTGCATGAATCAGCCCAATAAGGGTAACACCAGCACCAGTTCAAATGCAGAACTGTATGTGAGAGACCAAATAAATGGAATATTTCAGTGGCAATAAACATCAGTTTTGCAAGGGAAAAAGATCCTTGAACTTTTGCTGCCAAATCTAAAATATTATTTGTATATTCTGGAGGTTTGAAGGAAACACCTAAGAAACATTAAAGATGCTAATTATTAATGAATTGCTACTTCTTGTTACAAAAATTTTAAAAGTTACCTAAGAGAACAGGAAAACAAAACTCTCTCCATTAGCCATGCTCTAGCTCCTCCTTCATAATTTTAAATAAGTAGCCACATAGAAACTTCAGTTCTCTTGCTACAGCCCTAAAAAAGACAAAACTTTTTGGGTTTGTCTTTTAAATGACTGTTCCTCTTTTGCCTTCATTTGGGAAAGTCACATTCAGAAGTCTTGGAAAAGCATTTTATAGCTCAACTACTGTACTATGGAAAACAGCAATGTCTGCAGTAATGCCAGTTACTGTCTCATCCTTCCTGCTACAGTCAGTCCCTAACTTAGGCTGTGAAAGTTAGCATCTTATACAGGGTTTTCTGGCATCACAAAAAAATACTAGGATCCAGTCATACCAGAAAACAAAAAAGACAGTAAATCCATGTCAAATTGTAGGCAGCTTCAGCCCAGTTTGCCTGTAAATTATCCAAGGTTTTAATTGTGGTTTTTATTTATTCTAAAAATACATTTCCAATATAGCTTTCTCTGCCTATACTTCAGCTGTTATCAAAACCTCCTGCAGTTTTTATGCTACACCATGACTGACCAGGAAAAACTGTTTTATTTCCAGGAATGTCATTTCAAGGTACACTATAAAATTTCAGCAGTATATCTGCTACTTCATCTTATGCTTTTGCCTGAAATTATAGAGTCTATCCAATTTTTAACGAACTAGCAAGATACTCCCTCAGATGACACCATGAGCTTTCCAAATCCTTTAGGTTCTGTTAGAGAATTAAGAAGAATACTATTATTCCTGCTTCTCACTATGCTAGAGTCATCATGAGAATCCACTTCTCCCTTGAACAAATACATTTCAATGCACAAAATCCTTCAAACTGGGAAGAAGCAAATGAAAACTTGCAAGTTTTTTCACACTGAGAAACCCCAGAGCTGGCCTGCAGTAACTCCAGACAGGTGGTACAGCTCAGTCACCCAATATCCAAACAAAGCACTTGAATCTGTGGCAGTAACCTTGCCAAAGCACAGATACAGCACCAAGTGCTCTGCTCCTGCTCTGGCTGAAACACCTCCAGTGCCAGGCAGGTCAAGCTGCAGGCAGGAGCAGGCTTTGGGCAGCAACCCCAGAGCTGAGCAAGGCTGAGGCTGGGATCAACCTGCTGGGATCTTTGACACTGCAGCCTTTCTACTGCTGGTATTTGCTACGCAAGCCTATCCAAAACACTTAAAGCTGCTCAAAGCTACAATTTAGACTATTGGCACAGCGATATCTAACTGGGCACTTCAAACAGCAGAAGTTACTTGAGAACATTTCCTTTTATCTAGCTGCAGGAAGATCATCTCTGTGCTGAAGTGCTATGCTTTGGAGATCAGCCTCCTTGTGCCACTCCAACAAATTGCTGTACTCCAGTGCTGACCCACCTTTGCAGTGCTAAGGTACCACAGCAATATCAAAATAGCTTTCAACACCAAGGATTTTTATTGTCCCCTTCCCAACTCTCTAGAAACATACTCCTAGCAGAGGGACCCAGAGCACAAGAAAGCATATTCCACAGGAACAATCAAAAGAAAACCAGCAAAAGCACACTCATTGGAGAAATGGACAGTTTTCTTGGCAGTAGCTCGGGTTTAGAACAGAATGCTCTAGAAGTGGCAAGAATAACTACTGCCTTCAAAAGAAAATTCAATACTAGCTTCCTTAAAGTGACTTTCCTGTAGCAATTAGCAAGAAAATTAAGCCTGCAGAAAAGACAAAAAAAGTAATTCTTGCATTACTTAGAGTGAAAAAAAGTGTTCAATACATACTCCATTTGTGTTCAAAGGGACATTCAGCTTTTACACTGCTGATAGCCCAGCAAATAGGTATTTCCTAATAGCCCAGCAAATACCTGAACAGCCAAAGCATTTTTACTGTATTTGCCACCTGCCTTCTCTATGAGAAGGAGACAACTTTCTCCTCCTTCTGCCAAACATTTAGCAAATCAGAAAGTCTCACTTGCTTCCTGAAGACCACAGTAGTTGAGAAAAATTATTTATCATGAGCAACCCACAAAAGGTCTGCAGAAGTGGGCACACTTTACCATACAAGCAGTATGGTATTAAGAAAGTGGAAGCCTAGGCTGGAAAAACAAACCTCTAGTCTTCGTAAAGTTTTTATTCTTATGTGTTTACTAATTCACATCAGTCCCTGCATTTGATTTATACATCCAAATCTTTCCTATAGAACAATTGAAAGGAAACACTTTAAAACATTCCATACACCATGCTATTAAAATACCAATGAACTTTTAATGTCTGTCTTTTCTTTTTTAAGACATTGATTACAACTTCATTAAGTTCAGGCAATTTTAGGAAAACCCTGAATTACTTATTTTTTGTTAAAGGAATAAGCCTTTCTGTTGTGCAGCAGCACTATCCATGCATTGAAGCTGTACATATTTTCAACAGGTTCTTCTTGGACAGAAGCAAAAACTTCCTTATAAAAGGAGAAAGGCTGACCAGGCAGGTCTGAGTAAAGATGGATGTGCAAGGCAACAACAAAGAATCCAGAGGGAAAAAAAATGCCAACACGTTATGTAAGCAGCTGTGTGAAAACACAACAAATTTCTAAATTCCATCAATATTCAAGACAGAAGATACATCCTGGCAATTCTAGAAAGAAATTAAATAGAACGTCTTGAGAAATTAAGGCAAAATTTTCAACTTTTTATACACATTATCTAATACTTTTCTTGCTTGGTGAGTAACACTGCAGCTTAATGTGACAACTGCAATTAAAAATAAATATCTTCTTATATAATTCCTCTCCCACAGAATTTTAGCAGAAAGTAGGCTTCCTGCCAGATGCAGACACCAAAGAGGGAAAAAAAAAGAAAAGATAGTTACTTTTGCCTTACTCATTACAATGACATTTTTCAGAAACAAAGTATCTCATCACAGCTTAAGGGCTTGAGCATGAACACAGCACATGGGCTTCAATTGAAGGGGTCTGTCTCAGTGAATTTTAGTTTAATGCTTGTATTGTCTACCACTAACACTGTCAGAACATTAATACTATCTGAAAAGATTTTCTGATATTTTCATTCTATGATTTCACTAACCAGTAAACAAATACTGTATTATCCTAGACTACTTCTTTTATGAACCCAGTATCAGCACTGATGATCTCAGACACTGCTCATAATACAAAAAGGATCCGTTCCAATAATGTGATATATTACTCCCAAAGTGAATGGGCTAAAGCAAGGCCACAACAGATTTAGCTGACAATTTTCAAAACAATATTTTAAAGACTTCTGGCAAGGTAATAAAACATGGATTGAAAGAATTCATTTTGCTATTAATACTTTTTTTCTAAATGTACAATTACTTTTAGGCTGGGTAAAAAGTTTATATATTTTCTTGATTTAAACTCTCAGCACAGCACTTTTCACATGCTACTAAACTGAGTTATAGGTTCACTGCATACATGTGCATCCTAAGGACAAGGAGTTACCTCAACTAGATATAAAGCAGTAAAAACTAGAGTGCCATTTCTCCAGAGGATTTACAGAGACAGCTATCCTAATATTCAGACAAAAACAATAAAACATTTATACAAAGCTTATCTAAGTAAGTAATTTAAGATTTGTGTCCTTGTAGTCACCCAGAAGCACCAAGGTGTTAGAGGAGCTCACACTCGTTTTTCTTTTCATACTGACATGCACATTCCTGTACACCAGGAAATCCTGTACTGGTGATGCTAACCTCACTTGCACACCTCAGTGATGTTTTCTCTACAGTGCTCCTACTTGGAACTTCCGAGGGAAATTGGATTCTCTACTGTTTTTTACCTCTCTCATTTAATGCAATGTTTTTGAAACACAGACTAGGAAACTCTGAAATAGAGGCACAGACAACGAAAATGAACAATGCTTCCAGGCATGAGAGGCAAAAATGAAAGCACACGCCTGGGTTAGGACACTGTCACAGAGTGCAGTCAGAGGGCGGACAGCACAAATGAACCAAGTTGGCTGAAAGGCAGACAGGAAGCAAAACAGTTTGGGAAATGCTGCCTTATTTACAAACACTCCCACAACGCCACAAGATATTCATGGGCAAGAAACAGAAAACAGCTATCTTTACCATAATAGTAAATGGCTGGGCTGTCTTTTTTTTATATATACTTCACATATCATAGAAGCATCTGATGAAGATGAAGCATCTGATGAAGACAGAAAAAAAGCATAGGTGCCATCCTTCTGCTCTGTAAGTCTTGTTATAGAGTCTAGAGTAGCTGCACTCCTCCCCATGGACCAAATCCAAAAGCACTGTGATAATACCAATTACAGTTGATACTTTCTCAAAAGAGTAATCAGAAGTATTCCGTTATCAGAAACAGTAATTTAAAGTGATACAATTACTTAATACCATAGCTTTCAGAGCTAACCCTCTCCAAAATCTTTTACAATTCCTCAGAAATTGCACTGAACTGTTCAATAAACTGCATCCATTTTTTCAAACATTTAAGGTTTTAATAGCCTCCAACTAAAACTCAAATTTGTATTTAAAAAGATTGCATGAAGCACGTGCAGATAACCTCAAGAGAACATAAGGATATTTTTCACAGCAGATGTGAGAAGGCATAAAAGAAAGGAAAAGCCTTCCTGCCATTTGCCTCAGCAGCAGACCAACTGAAGTTGACAGACTACATAAACTACAGGAATCACACATTGTATGACCAATTTGACAACAACCTGTATAATGTGGGTCTCTGCTCCCGCCTTTGTATATCTGCGCTTTGTCTCTACAGCTCTATTCTCAAATTTTAAAAAGGTCATGAGTAAAAGGCTGTCAAAAAGCAAATTAAAAAAAAATACAATTAAATTCTAAGCACAAAATATCTTTGAGAATCAAACAAGGCAACCAACCACATGATTGGAGCTTTTTTAACTACTGAAAGACTCATGAAGCCTACACACACAAAAGAGTGTGATTAATTTCAACTCATGTCCTTACACACACAGTGATTCACCACACCATTCTTCTGGTGGCATAAAGCATAACATCTTTACTAGAAAGCAACAAATCAGGAAAACATCAGCCACATCAGCTTACTATCTAAATCCCTGCACTGACCCCTTTTCATCAGCTGCCTCAAAACCAAGATTATTTTTTCTGCTTTGGAGGTTCTATAGAAATGCTTGTGTCTATCACCCTAGCCTCACCATTTGCCCACTTTACCCACAACAGTCTGAATTTGCTTCTAGCTGGAAGTATGGAAACCTTTCCAAGCTAATCCTCAGAGTCACTACTTTCTGGACATTCAAATAATTCCTGAAGGCCCACTCCTACAGCAATACCTAAAAGAAAAAAATCAGTTTCTAATGCCTTCTAGACAGAAATTAAACAGGGACATCCCCAGTCTTGAAAAACAAGCTTCCCATTACTAAGATATAGCAGAGACTTTGCTCCTGTAACCTCCCCACTCACACTCCTTTCCACAGTGCTACAGTATTCTTCAGTACCCAGCACAGGGTGGGTCCTACCAGAAACAAGGAATTACCAATACTCCTCAGATATCCACAGTTCTTGTGAAATATCTGAACTCTGATTTCCTATGCAATAAAGAAAAAAAACACAAGGCACATAAACAGATAAAATGAAAGCAAATTAATAGTGTATTTTTTTTAAATTTCACTGCCCTCAAAATCTCAAATAACTTTTCAGATTGAGAAATTTTTCCTTCTCTCTCTTTTTTCCATAGCTCTCCCAAATCATTTTCCTCCTATGGGTCATTCACTTAACAGATCCTTGTGGGTCTCTTCCAATGCAGAATATTCTGTGATTCTGTTATTTCCACATGAAACACATAAAAGCAAAAAGAAAACCCATGTCTAATTGCCTCATTTCTGGAGCTGACATATGAGACAAATAGTGATTAAGTGAACTCAGTAACTTTCATTTCCTCTCATGCATCTCTAAGAAGTTATTGGTTTTACTCTTCACTTCTCAATTGTATCGGTCTCCAAATGCTAAGAATTTTTTCCCCATTTCTTAAAGATATTCAGAACAAAGCAAGATGAAAATTGTATGATCTGTCAACTCCTGGAAAAGGCATAATGAAAATTAAAGAGTGAGGTACCTCTAAAGGAAAAAAAAACCAACCAATTGAGGTAAACAACTAACATAGCATCACTCACAGAAAGTACAAACATGTTTGGAAAAAGAATTCTCAACCATACACCTTTACTATAACATGTACTTTCTCCACAGAAGTGGAGAAGAAACAAATCCCAGAAAAAGTGAAGAGTATGTGACATACTGCAACTATACTTGTACTTAGAAGTTTCATATAACTCTTTCTAAACACTTCAACTTGTAAATACTGAAATGCTACCAAAGATAAGAAAAATCCACATTTAGAATAACCCTGGTCAGTTTCACTGATAATAAAGGTAATCTGTTGGACTACATTTCACTAAGAAATGTAGTCCAACAGATTACCTTTATTATCAGTTTTGATGAATAGCTGTCTTTCCATTTTTTCTGTATCAGCTGCTCCATCTTGTTTAAAAAGAAGCGTACTGGTATGGTAAAGAATTAAGCACCCTTTAAAAACCAGAACATTCGCAAATGTCTGTCTTTCCACTCCAAGCCTAATGTATTTAGGGATGTCACAAAACCTAAGCTGTAATGCTCACTAAACCAAACATGGAGCAAATGCATATGGAATTGCTACAGCAGTGGCCACTACTGCCCTGACTGGACACAACATGCAGATGGTTGGCTAGGAAAACAGAAATAATGTTTTTATTAGGGCTGTGAAAACAAACATAATGCTTTTATCAGCCCAACCCAACACATGCCAAGTCCTGATGTCCCTTTCCACCTTCTCGCAGGCTGGCAATAAAAGTCTATTCACAGATGGGCTGTTCTCAGCAGCCATAGAAAAATGCCACCTTGCAGAAACAGAGACCTGTTTTCCAACTACAGATTTCCTAGGAGGGCTTTTGCAAAAGACTTTCTAGCAGAGAACCAGATGCAAACATGTCATATGAGAGGGTGGGCTAGGCTCTGGCACTGGAAACACACATAGCAGCAGCACTGCTGCTGTGGCCAGCTCCTCACAGGCAGCTCCGTGGCTGCCACTGGGCCCAGAGCACACCCAGCACTCCTCAGCTCAGCAGCCCAGGGTTTTGTAGGAATCAGAAGCCAGAAGAAAGGGTGAGTACTATGTATTATGAACTTCACAGCACAAAGTGGGGCAAAAATTAGCAAATGTTTGGAGCCATACTTCAGCTTGTATCTATCAATATATAATATGAGATCTACATGCAAAAGAATATTACACTGCTCAACTACCTGAAAGCTAAGAAATACAAAGGCAGTTATCCATACAACTTTAACTCATCTGACCTAGGTATAGGCATGATACATTTTAGTACCACAATACTTCCCTCTAGACCTTTCCTCAGGGAGCACTGAGAAGGGATGACAGCCTAGGAAGGGGCCCACAGCATGCAGCAAAGCAGGCTGCTGGTCTGCTGCTTACAGAAGCTGCAAAGTGCCACAGAGAACAGAGAGGACATACGAGAAGAGAAATTCTTCATGCTACCATGCTCTCGTTCCGTAAGCTACTCCTTTAAATCCTGTTAATCAAACATATATATTTTCCCCTAAAAAGCAAGTGCCAGTCATTCCTCCACCTCTGCTTCTTCTATAGCCTTTACACATGTGGGACGTACATCTATTAGAAAAGCACCATGAGCAAATTTAAGTAGCTATCAAATTTGGAGAAAATGCATTATTTTCCTTTCCCCCTTATTTTGTAACAGAAGTTCTACATAAGAAGGATTAATGTTTTTAAATAATATTTTAGATAGGCTACGTACATTCTTGTCAGTACCTACACATATCAACTACATTCCCTATTCTGTATGCAGTCAGCTGGCCACCTTACTCTTGGAAGGTGAAGCATGCAGAAGGCTGAGGCCTCAGCTCTGGTGGAAGAAGCAGAAATGGTGCTTTGAACATGTGCTCCATGGTCAAATAGTCTGGGGGCAGTGAGCAGCAGTGCTGCCTTCTGAGAGAGGGTGGAGTTCGTGGGCATGGTCAGTCTTGCCCCCCAGGAACATAAAAATCCACACCATCAAGCCAAAGCCACATTAAGCCCAAGACCTCATCATCTCTGACACTGGACAGCAGTAGCCATGTGGACAAAAGCATAAGTACAAGGCAAGGATAAAGCAGGATTTCCCAGCAGGCTTTCAGCCACATATATGTGGGGGAAGATGAGTCTGATCCAGAGACAGGGATTTTTTTGTATTTAATAATCCCAAGGAGAGTTTTCTTCCAAGACTATCTGATCACTTCTGGAATTCTGTCAGATGTTAGCACGCCAAACATCTATGGGCACAGAATAGCTTAACCACACATCACCTGAGAAACTCCTCCTGGTTAGCGCTGAGGATGTCAGCTGCTCATTCATCTTCATACTCCAATAGTGAAATACTTCCACACTGGAATATTTCTTGCCTTTTCATTTCTCACCATCTCCTCATCATCAACATTCTTACCACCCATGTGGTGAAAATAAGTTGGTATTTGGGGAGCCCTTGTGATTACCACAGAAAAACCTATAAGTAAATTAATAATCCTGTACTCAAAGCAGGATTAGAGTAACACGCATGTTAGAATGAGGCACTGACCCACTTTTAACAATAAATAGGACTACCCAGTTAATTAGTCAATGAGCATTATCTCCTCTGTGCACTGAATGAGGCTGGTGTCCAGTGAGGAAGGAGCAAGAGAAGGTGGCATCCACAGTCACCTTAAGACTACCAAATACTTCTGAATTAGACAGTCAGTGACTGTAGAGGCAGGTGATTTTTGGCAATTCCCATTTTCATATTCTTAACCTCAGAACTTTTTTAGTATGACTATATGTCTTACTTCCTATATCCACAGAAATAAAACTTTCATTCCATCTACTTGTAAATCATACTGTTAACACCACAGGCCATCAGCAAGGTAAGGAAGTTAGATACTAGCTTGTCAGTACCTACACATATCAACTTCAGATTTTGAAGGAGCAAAGTTTAGAAGCGAGATTAGGCCCATTTCCTGGCTTTTCAACTTTACTTTCCCTGTCCTTTGTTTCTGGGCTCTTTTTCCTAGTCAGTGTCCTTCAAGATCCACCAATGGAAGCTTTCGCCCTCTACAACAAGCAATGTGGCCTTCCCAGCAGACAGCCACTGACAGCACTGTAGCAGATTTATCCATTCTTGGTGCCCTCACTCCTCAACTGGGTACAACTGCAGCAAGCATCTTCAATAGAAGCAAGCATTTCAAATAATTTAACTGCTCAGCAGTAGCAACCCCCAAGCACACACAAATTCTGAAGGTTTTTGCCTTAGATTCAGGGCTTAGGCAACTTTTTAACTGTTTCTTGGAAGAGCATCCTTCACATAGGAGCTTTTACCTGCAAATTAAATTATGCATCCTCTCCTCAAGTCTGAATCTCCTAACCATTTTGTTTCCCACAGGAAAAAAAGTGTGTTTCACACCAAACTCTGTCCAAATGAAAAATTAGCAAAGACTTATTGCTGCTAAATCCCTCCAACATATTTCTATTTGATTAAAAAAAAGGCAAGAGAGCCTTCAGCTTGAATAACTTAAGTTCAACACAAATCTGGAAGACTTTTAATAGAAAGCCGTATGCAGTAGTATATTAAAGGCCCCTCCTGAAAGGGGAGACATGACAGTGTTGTGTAAATGCAAGACACTGAGAAGCTACCAACTACAGAGATAATACTCAGCAGCACAAGCTTACCACACCTGGCAAAACAACAACTGCAGGACCCTGAAAGATCTAGTAAGCACTAAAAACCTACATGCAAGATGTTCAGCATGGTTGCATATTAATGTAAGAAAAAGTATGGTTGTGACCATTTAGTAGCCAAAGCATTTAACGCAAATAAATGCCACATTTGTGTCAAAAATCAATACTGCAGCCAAGCTTAATATACTCGTGGAAAGAGGCACAGCTTTTGTTTTCCTAGCCTGCCAAATGCTGCTTCACCTACAAAACAAATGGTTACTACAATCAGTTTACTGCAAGCTCCATCTAACTATCGGCCTGCACGTCAGGGGGATGCAACACCAACCAGCACCAGCAGTGCAGCTCTGCGTGACACACAAGCTATCTGAACTCCCATCGTTTGAAAAGGGGCTGCACATAAGGGTTGGAAAAGCTCAGAAAAAGATTTTGAAACAATTTCTGCTCACAGTAGTAAATAACATAGACATCTATCACAGAAGTATAGTAACATTAAGGTTGGAAGGGATCTGGGGATCATCTAGCCCAATCCCCCTGCCAAGGCAGGATCACCTACAGCAGGTTACAGAGAAATCTGTCCAGGTGGGGTTTGAATGTTTCCAGACAGGGAGACTCCATAATCTCCCTGGGCAGCCTGCTCCAATGCTTTGCCACCCGCAGCGTAAGGCAATTCTTTCTCATGATGAAGTGAATCGCAATTTATAATTCTTTTTCCGTAATTTTAGCTGTATTTTAGCTGGAGCACTTCAAACTTCCAAGAGCCGACACTCAATCCACGCTGCTCGGAAGAGCCCATCCAAGGGTACCGCTCGGGAAAGCGCTGCCTCCCTGCTCCCAGCCTGACTTCGGGCAGGCAATACCTGTGAACCTACACCGAGCCTAGCGCTAGAGGGACGGATGGACAGCTGCCCGGGAGCCCCTTTAAAGCCACACAGGAGGAGCCCCCTCCCACAAACACCTGCCCGCTCCTTCCCATCGGCGCGGGCCGGGTCTCCTCTGGGCAGCCAGCCCAGCCCCGGGTCCCCCGCCACCACCATGGCTGTTGTTATTTGTTTCCGGCAGCACCGCGGCGTGTCGGGGACGAGGAACAACGCGCCGCCCGCCGCCCCCTCCCGGCAGCGCCCCCAGCCCAGCCCAGCCCAGCCCCGGCCGCCCCGCCGCACTCACTCGCCAGCCGCGGGCCATCCAGCCCCCCGCCGCCGCCGCCTCCGCCGCCTCCCGCCCCCAGCTCGGCTTTCTTCACCACCGGCGACGGCGACGAGCAGGGCAGGCCGCTGCTGTTCATGGCAACCGCCCCGCCGCCGGGGTCGGCACCATGGGGAAGGGGGCGGGCAGGGGGAAGGGGCGCGGGGACCGCCGTCACCCCGGGTCCGGCTCCGGAAGGGGCAGGAGGAGGAGGAGGGGGCGACTCCGCGCCTCTTAAAGGGGCCGCGCGGCCCGGGGCGGCGGCGCCTCCTCCTCCTCAGCGGTCCCGGCGCTCGGGGTTGTTTATGCCATTTTCCTCTTCCTGAGCGGCCGCGCCTGCGCCGGCGCGGAGCACGCTGGGTAGCGCCGCCGGTCGGGCCGCGGAGGCGGAGGGGGAGCGGGGCGGAGGGGGCCGGGGCTGCGGGAGGGCGGGCCGGGCGGGGGAGGGACGGAACGGAACAGAGCGGAGCGGAGCCGCGGGCGGCGGAGCGCCGTGTCCGGCGCGGCGAGGGGCGCTGACCGCCCGTGGCAGGGCTGTCAGGCGGGCGGTGACCCCGGCACACGGCCCAGCCCGGCCCCGGGGCCGCTCGGCTCCCGGGCGCTGTGCCAGGCTGGGTCTCGAGCCTTCTCCCGCTCCGCCGCGTCCAGGTCAAAGCAGCGGCCGTGCCAGCAGGATCTCGGCCGGTTTGCCTCGGCAGAAATTCCGTACCTCGTTGCTGCCGTGAAACCACGGGCAGCGTGCTGGCCGTGCCGTGCCGTGCCGTGCCGTGCCGTGCCGTGCCGTGCCGTGCCGTGCCGTGCCGTGCCGTGCCTGCTGGCGTAACGGGAGCGCGGCCCGAGGGATTCTCCCTCTCCAGGCGACGAGACGCAGTTCTTAAGAAAATGCTTCACGTCTTTTCCCCGGAGCTTGGAGAAGTTTGTTAAGTGAATTTTAACTGACTGGCTTGCGGTGCTACTCAGGATTTTAATTTTTTTCAATTTTTACTCAGCCAAGTTGTTGGCATAGCTCGTGGTGCTGAAATAGTGTGTATATATGTAGTTGAGAAAATATAAGTTGGAGTGCACTTGACATTATTTTGGTAAGAAAAACATTTACTGTAGAATTAAGATTAATTGTTGTCTATCATAGCCTTCTCTCTTATTAAAAATGAAAAGAAAATCAGGGCCTGCCTAGAACATGCTTTGACAGTTTGTGTGAAAAGAAATTGAAAAATAATGAGTGAGCTTGTCTCATTGGAACAAATCAAAATCTTTCTTCCTCAGATAGACTGTTCAAAGACCTTGAGAAGTAAATGTACCTTAAGCTGAAATCTCAAGATCAAAAATTTTGGACAGAAAACTAGAGAAAGGACAAGACTACAACAGTGTTAGACTTCTGTTTCAGACTGTGTACCAAGAAGACAGGGTGAGGATATAATCTCTCTGTCATTCCCCAACAATTTTTCTGAAGGTTTTTGCCTCAGACTCAGGGCCTGGGCAATTTTTTTTAACTGTTTCTTAGAAGAGCGTCCTTCATATAGGAGCTTTTAGCTGCAAACTAAATTATGCATCCTCTGCCCAAGTCTGAATCCCCTAACCATTTTCTTTCACATAGGGAAAAGCTTTTAGCTTCTTTCAACAGTATGGCAAAGAGCTCACAGCTTCTGTCTTCCTCCAAGCTTGAAAAGTAGGCCAAAGAGTGGAGAAGCCCTGTTGGTTTCTCCATTAAAATCCCCATGTCAGAGCTCAAACAAACCACGGCAGATTCCATGAGGGAGAAAGACCTCATAAATGCCTCAACCATGGCAAACGTTTCACTCCCAATTTGCACCTTCTGAGATAACCAAAATCGGTTTGATTTAGTGGACGGATCAGTCCAGCTGCTTTAGGTGAGGTTCCCTCAGTGCTGCTTGGCTGTGTATCACTCAGCCCCCTGGCATTAGTGCTGTGCCTCTGAGGAGTGGAAACAAGGGCTTCCCTGCATTGTTGCAGCCACACACGGGTGCCTGCAGGTGACACTTCCCTCAGCTCCTGCATTGAAGAGAGTCTGGGAGTGCATTGTTTTCTCTCCCTTTGTCCTGCTGGTCGGTGCGCAGGGAAAATGCCAGCAGAAGGTGGAGGTCTCAGGCAGATGGGGCCTTCAGGGTGCATGGGTTCTTAGAGGGGAATGGGAGGTAGAAGGTGTTTTATTGAGGTAATGCCAGGTGTGAGGGGGAGACAGGAACCCAATATTCTCTGCTTAAGCCTTACTATCAATCATCTATTTATTGCCTCTTATTCCAGGAGCAATATCCCTTGGATAAATCCCTTCCCTCCTCAGAGTCAGACTGGGTAAAAAAGTTGTATGCACATGTGAGGTGTTTTGAAAGGAATGCACAAAAATGTTACTAAGGGAGAAGAAAAATCTCAGCTTTCACCCAGAGTTTTCCCAAGATCTGTGGGCCTTTTGTCTGGAGCTTTAGTATGGTGGATTTAATGGTATCAAATTATCTTACAAGAGATTTGATGATACACGTAGGGTAATACCTTTTCTGGGTAAACTGGTTGAACATGAAGTTTATTCTTCCAAGCAAAGACTTGAGATGCGTGGCCACTCCCATTGCTGAAGTGTATTCTTACCTGTG